AACCTCCAACCATCGAGACAACTGTCCCGATGGTTGTTGAACTCGCAGGGCATACTGTAGTGCCGCATGATCTGTGCGGACGGTGAAATGCCGACCGTACAGATATGGGCGATACTGTTGGATGAAATAGACAATTGCCAACAGTTCCCTACGGGTGACACAATATCTTTGCTCCGCAGGAGACAACACCCGACTACCGTACGCGACCACCCGTTCCACGCCATCAACCACCTGGGAAAGCACACCCCCAATACCCGTGTTGCTCGCATCGGTGTCGAGCAAAAAGGGCTTAGAAAAATCTGGGTAAATCAAGGGAGGGGCTTTTACCAGGGCGTCCCGAAGGGAGCAGAAAGCAGCCTCCTCCTCTTGACCCCAGTGGAACCGAACCCCTTTAGATGTTAAAGCGTGCAGGGGTTTTGCAATTGTCGCAAAATCAGCGACGAACCGTCGGTAATACGACACGAACCCAATGAAACTCCTGACCTCTCCCACCGAGGTGGGAGTCGGCCAGGAGCTGACACACTGCGTTTTGGCGGGATCGGTAGCAATACCTGAGCGTCCCACGATGTGCCCCAAATAACGCACCGAATCGCGCAACAAATGGCATTTTTGGGGCTTGAATTTCAAATTAGCAGCCCGCATCTTTAGGAAAACCGCCCGCAACCTCTGGAGATGTTCGTCAAAAGTTTTACTAAAGACGATAACGTCATCCAAATAAATGAGGCACGACTCCCATTGCAATCCAGCCAAAACCAATTCCATCAAACGCTGGAAAGTTGCCGGCGCTGAGTGTAAGCCCATCGGCAACCGGTTGAATTGGAACAGGCCATGCGGTGTACGGAAAGCAGTTTTAGGCTTTGAATCATCGTCCAGAGGAAGCTGCCAGAATCCCGAAAGTAAATCCAGTGTGGAAAAGAATCGCGCTCCCGCCAAGGCGTCCAGCGATTCATCCATCCGAGGGAGCGGGTATGCGTCGGCAACCGAAATTTTGTTAAGACGCCGGAAATCAACGCAAAACCGCAACGAACCGTCCTGCTTTTTAACCAGGACGATCGGCGCTCCCCAAGGGCTGGTGGAAGGAGAAATGATGTCGGCGGCCAACATGTCATCAACAGCCGATTTGACATGGTCCTTTTCGGCGGGACTCAACCGAAACGGATTTTGGCGAATTGGCGCGCTGTCACCCGTGTCAATATGGTGACGCAGCAGGTGAGTACAACCCAAATCGTATTTATTCCGACTAAAAACGTCGGAAAATTCCCGCAGTAGTGTTTTAAGTTGTTGACGCTCTGAATCTGACAGGTCCGTCGATCCCGCACAAAGCGCCTCGAGCCACCCTTCATCGCTGTCCGAATGCGGTCGCGGCGCAGGGACAACGCTGACGTGATTTGCGACGGGTTCCTCACATGGCACCGGCGTTGCGTGAGCAAGCACGGTCCCCTGTGGGACCACCACCGTCTGCGAGCCCACATTGAGGACCGCGATGAAGGGTTCACCGTCCCCTCTTACTATGGTCTGGGCCGGAAGTAAATGAGGTCCACTAACCCCGGCCCTAGACGGCCCCAGCAGAACCCCTTGGGCCCCAACACCCTTAGCGAAGGGCCGCCGAAGTTTCAAGGGAATCAACATTTGCGCCCCCGGAGGTACGCGCACCGTTCTCTCTACGAATGCCGGCACCGTCGCGAACGCTGTCCGAGTCGTAACAGGCGATGGCAGAAACGCCATGCGTCTGCCCGACGGGAGCTCAATACATCCCTGGTCGATCAATATCCTAATCGGCATTTTGGCCAGGAAGTCCGTCCCCAGCAGGCACGGAACCGCCAGCGAGGAGGAAACAAAAATCGGCCCAGACAATTTAATATCCCCAATACAAATTTGGGCACGAATTTGTCCGATGATGCCAAGTGAGCCCCCGTTAGCCGCATAGAATGGTACGTTAACAGGCATCAAAGGACGACTCCGGACAGGGAGAATATTGTAAATCAACTCCGAAATAATGGTCGCCGATGCTCCCGTATCGACCAGGATGCGCACTTCAACCCCGTCGATGTGCCCCACAACGGCCGACGACCCCGACGATGCGGCTACTACACGATCGGCCAGCACGGACCACTGGCCGGGTTCGATATGAGTACCCGGGGTGGTGCGTGATGGTGCGATGGTGCGCGATATCGGCCCCCCTCTCGTTGCGGTGTTTGAGTGCGTGACGGGTGTGTGCGTGGGCCAAACATGTGGGGTGCCGCGACTCGCCGGGTTATGATGGTGGAGCTTGTGATGAGGCCCGTCGTCCCGTTGAGGTGTCGTCCCGCGCTGTCAAGGAGCGCAGCACCCCGAGGCGACGTGGCCCCGGACGCCGCAGTTGAAACACCGCGGGAGCGCCGTTGGAGGAGACGGATGGTTGAAACGGCCCGGCCCGTCCCGGCCCGACCGTGCTCCTGTTGCCTGTTGCGGTCGGTGGTCGACGGCGTAGAGCTCCTCCGTCGGGATGGTGGCTGCAGCCACCGCACGCCCCGCCGATGCCCTGCTGGCTTTCCGCCGCAGTGACAGGAGGTTGGCGTGGAGGAGCCGCGCCGCCTGGAGCGATGTCATCTCCTCGTCCTCCCGGGCGACGACCGCGATGTCAAGGTCGTCTGCCAGGAGGAGGATCTTCTCCGTGACCATCGCGTCCACGCCGTCGTCGTCCATACGAGGGAAGGCCGACTTAGCCATCGCCAGGAGGCTCGTCCGATATGCTAGGGGCGACTCCTTCTCACCCCGCTTGCGGTCGTAAAATTGCTGTCGGCATTCAGCCGATGGTCCATAGACCCCGCCCAGCAGCTGTAGTGCCATCGGTAACGTAGACCGCTTCTCTCTCGGCGCCGATGTGAGGGCGGCGAGCGCGTCGCCGTCGAGGAGCGCGCAGAGAGCCTCCTCATCGGACCATTTCGCCATCTCCTGATGGGCGAGGAAACGTCGGCGAAAACCGGCCTAGTCCCCCTCCGCGCCGATGAACTCCTTCAGCGGGGGCAGTCTCTGATGAAGCGCAGCGGTCGTTGTGGACTCCCGCAGGCTGATGTCACCACCACTCGGCTGTGCGTCGGTGCGAACGGCCGATGGGATCGCCTGTCGCGCTTGTGATGACGTTGCAGCTTCAGCGACGGCGATGTCGGAGCAGATGTCTAGGCTGGCCACGCCCCGAACAGCTGTAGCGTCGATGGCGGGAATTTCAAATTCGGACTGCTCCGAAATGGCGGGAAGGCGCCCTGGTCGTTGGCTCGCCTCGCCCCGTGTTGGATCACCGGCCCCTAGTCGCGTGATGGTCTCCAGCGTGGCGGCAGCGGCATACAGCAGCTCCGCCAGCCTCCCGTGAGCCAGCCGTAACGCGTCTGGCTGCGGCCCCTCTTCATTTCGATGCCCCGGTAAGGAGGCGTCAGGCCCCGGCTGCACCTTGTCTTGTGGAGCCGTCTCGGGCTTGACGATCTCGGCAGTGTCTTCCTCCTGCGGTACTTTGGCCCGCGCTGTTTTCCGCGTGTCCATGTTCGAATTACTTCTGACACCAGTTGAAGTACCGGTGAAGACGCTTGACGCCGAGGTTGAGGCACACGTATATTTATTTCACAATACGACAGTGGGCATATACACACTCGAGGGGGTATCGGCCCCCTCACCCGTATAACTCGGGATACACCCCTAGCTAACTCTGTCCTAGCCCCGAATCCTCCACTAATGGGCTAGGGGAGGCTAACTGGCCCGACACTGGTAAGTCGGGCCCGGTACCCGGAGTTCCAGACCAGCTCTTACAAGAGCACCGGCTCTGGCTTTCGGGACCACGCCGCTGGCTCAGTCCTGTCCGGCCCTGAAAAGGACATCGAACTAGGGGAGTCCAGGGCTCTATCTAAGACGTCTTCAGTCTTCTTCCCTTAGCTTAAACATAACTGACTCGAGCCCTTTGAACATCCCCTTTTATACCCAACCCCTCCCTGAGGGGTGGGGCCCCGGGGGATCATAACGTTCGAACCAGCCCCCCCCAGGGTGCCTGGCTCGGACGTCGTAGAGGGCACCTCCTCGTGCACTTACGTAGCCCCGCCCACTGTGTTTGTTTTCCATAGGCTGCCATGCATAACGGGCCCTCTCTTTAACACCCCTACACAAGACTAATAATGAAAATATTATGGTGTTATTAAATATGCCAAAATTCACCCAGCTTTGTTTGAGATGTTTATTCATTGGCTCTGAAACTATGCATACCCTAAATGTTGACACAAAGTGGATTTCAGATTTCCAAAAGTAGATTTTCCAAGTTCAGTTAATATGTAGTGTCACATAGCTACAAAAATAGCATCTTCAAAAACACAATTTTGTTTAAAACATTGCAATGCCAATTGAACGGAGAGTTAATTATTCACATGGTACTACGACCCACATCGCAAAGGGGTTCCTTACAGCAATACTGGCAGTTCACCAGCACAGATTTTGCTGAGACAGTGTCAAAACCAATGCAGTATGCGTGTCTTGAGTTAATGCTGCGGAGCTGCAAGACCTTTGCAATGCAGAGAGATGGATAAAGAGACTGTTTATTTTGAAAACAATCTATAAACGTAAGTTGTCTTCCTTAAGGGTATGACAAAAATCACCTGGGCCTTGCACGCAATCTCACGGCTGCAATGGAAAACCACCATGCAAAGCATGTTAGCAGAATGCATTCCTACATCATGGGCAGCAGAGGACATTGCAAAAGCCACTGTAATCATGTGCACTTCAGATTAGCACAGATGCCTACGTACAGTGCGAAATAAATTCAACATACATATGCAATTTTTGTACTTCAATGCCTCCAGGTCTATTATGCTTCTCACGGTCACAAACACGCACCGAATTAAACGTGTATTGTTAAAACATCCATATGGTGTAAGGTGACCTTTACGTAGCAGTGAAGTGACAAAGAGCTGTAATGCCGTGTATAACCGCAAACACACTCAACATACTAAACTTAATCCGCAAGCTCACGAAGCCACACAAAACACCATCACATGTTTATGCACCATATAAAAAAGCACGAGATTATGCTTTATTCCCACACATGGTAAAACAATCACAAAAATGCTGTTTCTTGCAAAAAGCAAACGCTTGCTCGACATTACAAAGGCATTTAGCAACCGTGCAGCAATCCTTCATCACAATTCCAGGTCACAACCTTTCAACCAGTGGCAAAGTTTATGGTGAATATTGTAAAAATTAGCTATTATAGCATAGCTCAGTATTCAACGATCTAAATAATAGCATTGCAGTACATAGTTGATGAAGGATGAAAATCTGTTTAACAGACGTGTCATTATCCACCAAAAAATTGCCAGCGATTCAAACTTAACACAACCGTCATTTATTTATTTAGAACCAGCTAAGTACCTGCTGGAATACAATATATTCTCTGTTATCAAGACCTGGATGATTATCCCACTGATATTATATTATATTTTAGTTGCATTTGTCACATGACAATGGCAAAAAAGCATACATTTACAAATTCAATACTCCTTTTATTGGCCACCAACAGCAGGTAGCATACACTTTCAATGCTGCACAAATTTACTGCACATCTGTGGGATTCAATCCTATGAAAGCAGTTTTATTTTTGAGCATGCACTACATCCTGCAATAGTACAGCCACATTGACGATTACAATACTTTGTTTAATTCATAGCAATTTCTTACACTGGGTATTTTCTGGTTAACACCATTGCGATCAAGTCATGGTTTGTAAATGTTGAAAAAAGACAATAAAGCCTAAGCAAATTTTAAAATACACTATTTTATAGCCACAACTTTAATATAACATTCACAAACCTAGACTGAATAACGGTATCTAACATCTGGTAAACAGATACATGTTTAACATGACACAATACAACCCATAATAATGAGTTGTGAACCATGAACATAGTACGCCTTATTTGTCCAGCAAAATATAATCGCCCACCGTTTTGTGCAGCACTGAGGACCTGGCAAAGGTATGAAGATGACCATCTTTTCAAGTTCCCATTCATAACATCAGTGGTACAGTTCAGCATGTGCAATTTATTCTATTTCTAGTAATTTATCGAAGCATTCTTGAAGTTGATTTGTCGACATGGCAGAGAAAACCCTGTACTCATTGGTTTTTAACTGCTACATTTTCACTGTCCATTTCCTGCGGACGAGTTCCTTTTTACAATGTAGATCCTTTTGTGAGCACACTGCTCTATCAAAAGGAGCTTCGCACAATACTCCGAAAAGAAATCCACACTTGTAGGGATACCAAGTGTTCCATCTTAATCACTTGGGAAAGTTCCTGCAAACGTCATTTTAGACGTTCTCTTCCATCTGACTGGGATTCTCCGAATTTCCAATGACATTGCAGAGACGTCGGTGGTTTCAGCACACAGCCATTAATAGATCACTTTGTCCATGCTTTCCGTGTAAAGCCAGCTGGAGCGGAAGCCCTCCGACAGCTCAATAATTTCAAAAAGTCGCAGATAGTCTCTGGGCGATACTGCGCCCGAGGTCACTTCTGGTGACAGCCCAAGTTGTGCCATGACAAGTGCACCACTCCCGGGATTCCAGAGGCTGGAGAGAAGCACACGCATGCACCCACACGTGCAAGTTAGAAATGTCCATGACACCGTAAACTATACACTTTTTAAAGCTTTTAATGAAACCTTTATTATGATACAGAATGATTAATTTTTCCAAAAAGCTATATTAAAGGCTTAAAATACAACAGATATGACAATAACTAACGTTACAAGCAATGTAACCATCAAAAAAGATTACCAATAGTTGTTTGCATTACATATACAGGCATGCATGAAGCAGTATGTCCACATAGGCAGCAATGAGTTAATAGGGCTCGTATTGTAGTTCTGCCAGGAAGGGCATGGGAAACCATTTGATCAATATGGCTCTTGTTCAAGAGAGCAAGTCCCTAATAGCAACACAAGTGTTTGATATTGGATTATTTTTAAATATGCGTTATCATGCCCTCACCCCCCATTACAGACAGATGGACAGATTTATGCATTAACATTTTCAACCCGAGTTGGAAAACATGAATTAAATTGACAATATAGGTCTCCTCCGACATCGCAAATATCTCAAAGGTGCCTCTCACTTGAGTATATCCTCGAGCTTTTTCCTGCGCCGAGAGAGGCAGTGATTTATCATGGCCATGAACCGGTCCATGCTGTGGTAGTTAAGGACACTGGTGATTTCACGCCTTGGGTTCAGCTGCATGAGGCATAGCTTTTCTCCAGCCTGGACCTGCTAAGTCAGATGAAGAGTTGCATGTTTTAGCATACGACTACACAAGTTTTTTTGCGGTTGTTCTGTATAGTCCCGATGTGCGTTCGGGTTGTATAACATGTTGCTCAGCACGATGTCTGACATTTCTCTCTACATGCTGGGAGCTTTGAAAATGAAAGACTAAACTCAGTTCCTGAAGCACACAGCATGTAGAGTAACATTTCAAACATCAACTCCAAAACCACATCAAAGAGCTAAATTGGCAATTGAGTTATAGCAATACGCATGTGTTGCAATATTAATAAATGCTGAAAAATTTTATGCAAACTGGAAGATTAACTTTCAATGCCGTACCTTCGCTTACAACTAAAACACAGTGTGTATTTGTAATAGGTGGCACTTACATGATTTGAAAAAAAGTCCGTTTTCAGGGCTTTATTTGAACATGTCACCACTGAAGTCAAAGACTCCTGAAATCGAACATAGGCTCATAAAATAACTTTCCACGACATACGGTTTATTGTGCATTATTCCACAACGTTTCGGTTGGCATGTAAAAAAAGTTAATATTTAGCATGTAAAAAAAATAAACAAGCTGAAAAATCACTGATGCAAAACGGACATGATTTGAAACCACATGCATACGCAAGTTAAGCATTACTCACGTTGTACATACGTTGGTGCAGTCGGTAAATATTTAGTTTTCACATATTGAGATTTATACAAAAGGCAACACCTGAAAATACTACATGGGCTGGACATGTCATCGAATGGTGTTTACACATTCTTTAGAATAATTGAAATGCTAGTAATTGACTAGTAATGATCACAGTAACCTGTTTACTTCCTGCAGGGCATCCAATTCACCAAAATTTCACATTCATGTAATGCACTTCACTGAACATTAAAGCATGAAAAGATGTAAAGTTTAAAGTTCCAAGGATATGAAAGTACAAGAGAAACAGCTCACCTGGTAAATCACTGTAATGTCACTCATTATCTGCCACAATATGCTGAGTGAACTGTAATTCTTGCCGCCAGGAGACGATCTGATTTTCTGTACAAAAAATACACCATTAACTTGATACCTCTGCACACCAACAATACATTTGAGGTATTTACCATAACAAATGTTCGCAAGTATTCCATTATGTAGAGTGAATCCCTGTTGAACACGCATTTGCATCACGCGTTTTCGCTTTAGTGCGGTTTTTTTTTACAGTTTTCCGCTTAACGTGCCCACTATAATGCAATCCTAGCGTGTGACGGACTACTTTTATGAGCGGCATGGGTGTTGACAGCGTTGTTCGGTTTTGCTGGGAGCTGGTACCGACTGTACTGATGCGCGCTGTGGTACACAATGTGCCGCCTTCCTCTGCCTCACTCTTCGTTCCGCATTTTTGTGTGCGTAGCGTTATTTCACCAATTGTGAACTATCCCTGTCGCTCTCTCTCATCTTTTTCACTCGCCATATCTCTCTCACAACATACTTTATATTTAAATAAATGACCGTCACAAATAGAATTTTTTATAGAACTACTATATAAACACAACACATTTACAAAGAAAGATGTAAAACAGTGTACTGTCAAATGAAAACGATCTTAAAATTACAGGCTGGAACTGCACCCCCCCCCCCCCGCCTTTACCCATGATTCCTTATGGGATAATTACTCACGCTGAACGCGAATTTGTTTTATGCGGAAAATTACAGGAACCTCAACCCCCGCGTCAAGCGGGGACTTGCTGTCCTGGGACGTAGCCACTTAAAACTGCATTGTATTCAAATATGAAAAACATCGATATGGATCTTTTGTGCCACACAATGTTTTTCTATGGTAATTACCACACCAGTTATATTTTTTAAATATCTCTCAAATTCACTCCAATTAAATTGGCACTAACAATCAACACACATGCCTGCCATATGTTAAGTTTGTTATTATCAAGGAGTGTAAGCCAAAGGTCAGTCTCCCTGCTCATACGAGCATGAAGGCAATTCCACATTCCCATGAAAGGCACTGGGCTCTCACCACAAGACAACCACGGTTATGACTCTACAGTGTAAGTCATAATAATAGGGTTTTTCCCCTTTTTTATGGCAACAAAACTGAAACCTTTTTACAAAGGTGGTCTAATGATGTAGATGCTTACCCCGAGCCCTAATTACTTTCATAGTGCATTGTCTTTAAACTGTACGCCTTTTGGCGTCATCTGGTCGAGCACCAATTGAGACGAGGCTCAAAAGAAAGCTGTCTCTGGTGTGGACCAATCAGTTTCAAGGACAATGCATATATTATCAGAGGGTGTTTTTTGTTTGCATTTTGATTGCAAGTTTTGTGGTAGATGCAGACATGAATCCTTGTAAAAAGGTTTCAGTTTTGTTGCCAGAAAAAAGTGGAAAACACCTATTATTTTATTTTGGTACTGGCAAAGGAGGTCTAATGAGTGTAGTCATAGTTAATACAGTTGGCTGGCAGTGGCTGTGCATCCTACCTGCAATTCTCTCTCGCTTATGAACAAGTTGAGCTCTACTCTTCCAAAGCGAAAGACCGAGATTCCCTGAAAGGCGGCATAGATGAGCCTCCAAAGGATGGTACGAGGGTTCCTCAAAGGCAGAATGCCCACCAGACGAATGGGAATCTCTGTGGAGAGCAGACATTGTGATCAGCATGATATGGCATATACAGAAATCATGAACAATTTTTCCTAAGCTGTGGCATATAAATATTCGAAGACCTGAGAGAAAAGGTTGGAATCACTTTTAAAACGTTTGTGTTATAGTGCTATTTGTTATATAAAAAATAATGTAACTTATCCAAAACCACCTCAATGAATTTCAACACTTTTGGGAGGGTTCTGTATTGGGATGTTTGGCGAGCTCTTTTTTAAAGAGGTGTTTTTAATCTTGTAGGCAACAGGAGCACCCGGAGATAACCCACACAATTCCAGGTGCAAACACTCAAACGTTTGTGAATACAGTTAACAAACCTACTGGCTCTACTGTCATACACTGTCCACATGCAACGCCACCAACTTGGCTTACCATCATTCCAAGAGCACTCTTTAAGGCCCAGCTGGACCTGCAGCTGCTTGGAGCTCATGAAGGGTGGCCGCAACAGCCCATCATGGGTGTCCAGCTTGAAGACATCGCAGTGAAAGAGGTTCATGCGCCCTTCCGCACTTTCCTCCAATTCCTGGAATAAAAAAACATTTTGGCTGTCAAAAACACCATGAATCAGCAACACGCTTTCATCAAAACGCAGCACACAGTTCTATTTTAACCTGAGGCGCTGTGATTGTTTGCCCACTGGACAGGTCGAGTCCTACTGCAAATCAACAGGTGCTGTGTGCATCCACTGCTGAACAATGCTGCCGCAATGCTTGTTATTCCACCAACGGCACAGCATTACATTGTGGAGCTTTCGAAGAGATAAATACCATTTCAAATGGACCATATCTCACGGAAATATTTCAGTAGTTTGATTAAAAAAAGCCTGTCACTGCTGATGCAACACTGAATGTGGAAACAGGTTTAATTTGCTTAGATTGAACCAATGTGGCTGAAATTATGAACTCTATAAAGGCATTGTAGTTGACAGGAAGTGTAAAAAACACTTATTTTTCATGTGGATGGACAAATTTATAAAGATATGTCTGCTTATTTATTTTGTTGCTTATATGATCCGCAACATTATGTTTTGTTTAAAAAGTAATATGGAACATTTATAATTCAGGTAAGCATAAAAAAATGTACCTTCGTGTAATGCTGCGTGTTGTTTTCACAAACATCACATGCTTTAGTTTGAGTGCTTTTAAATAGTTCAAGTTTACAAAACAAATTGCCTGGGGTTACCAGATATTATACAACAATCGTCATTCGCCACTAAGTGCCGGTGACGTCACCACGGCGTTTGTGCCAGGCTATGTACATATATTGAGTAGCCAGGAGGGGGCGATACAGCATCACAATAATATATATTTTACGCAACATTGACCCAGGAACACCTCAGTCTAGAGACTCTTTTAGGAGGGTCCTACTAAGTTTGCTGTCGGGGCGATGATTGCCGTGTTTTTCCAATAGATCATCGACCGTGAATCAGCCCTTGTAACGTGTCTTGTTAAAGCCCATTTGCCAGTTTCAAAGATGTCATTTACCTGTGGATGTTCTCTGTCCAAGTGTTCCTCTTTCAATGTAATTCCAAGAGACACCATTAATACAGATCACAAAAGTAGCAATTCGCCCGCATTTGTTTGTTTTATTAGAAATCACAAGGCTGAATCTACAACGTGGAAACAGCTTTGTGGATCTCATGTTAAAAGGCTCACCTGCAAGGGAGGAAGAAACAACTTGTCCCGTTCCAGTACCACCACTCGATTGGCTCCAGAATTAAGGAGTGCTCTTGTTAAAATTCCAGGCCCTGAAATTTTTTATAGAAGCAGATATTTTTTAGCTAACGCTTCAGACAGCTTAACATTTAAAATCACATTCCCCAAGCAATTTATCGTCTTCGGACTTGCCCACCAGCAAACTTGATGAGTATGACCAATATTGCCATGAACTTAATACATTTACGTGCAACATTTTAAATGTAAAAAAGAGCTGTTGCTAGAATAAAAAGCGCAAAGTTGTTTGAAAGCCTAAATGCCAAAATATTTATGATAAAAACTCATTCCACAGTACATATACACACTTATGTGTGTAATGGAATCAGTTTAACTTTCAAGTTGTATTAAAACTGCTTTCAGTTTCTACAATAACTTACAGGCCAGTTTAACATGCAGGCTTTCGCGACCAATATTACCCTTAAGAGTATTTTTTGCGTTAGATCGTGTCAATATGAATGTGTCATTAAACCCGTTCACCCGACACAGCCAAACCTTACTAATTGACTGTGTCGGGTGGTGGCGGGTTTAACGACGCATTTATATTTACGCGATCGAACCCAAAAAAACTCCTATTCTAAACTTACAGGCCTTTTGTCAATCCACTCCTGGACAAAGACATTCCAGTTTCATGTCAGTCATGGAGGTTGTTTCACCCGATACCTCTGCACACTGATCAGTGTCGGTTGGTGCAAGGGAAGTGACGTTTACGACCAGTTTATATATCGTTCACCACTGATGTTAGCCATGGCCGGAAATAAAATTCGGTCACAACAGTCAAATTCCAGTGCTCTAACCATTGCATTACCACTCCCCACAATGACATTAAGCATTTAAAATAAGGCCAGCAGTGAAAAACCCACTTCCATGGTAGTGGCAGGTCTCTCCACAGGACAACCACTATAACATACTTTTCACCAAAAGCAATGAGAGCTAGAGCCTTATCCCTTTTCCCTGGTGCTGTTGTTGTTGCCGGGAAACCGACCTGCAGAGCAATCAAACACGACGGCCTCGTCACCCTCGTTGATCTGCAGGGCTTCAGTGATAGAATGGGCCACGCGCGGCTCCGTGATGAAGCAGCGCCTGGTATTCAGGTCGCCCACTTGGTTCACCACCTCCTGCAGCTCGCTGCCATCCGGGTAGGAGAGGCGCGAGTGTGACGTGCCACGCAGACCTTCCACGTACCACATGGGAAGCGAGCCTGTCACCGCCGACAACGGCCTTAACTTTCCAGATCCTGTGAGATTGAGAGGGGTTTAGTTAGGTGCAAAAGTGCTTAGACTCAGCCCTGTGTGTGGTGTATAAGGCCAAAAAACAATGAGTACCCAGACAGAGTTATGACCCCAAAGAAGCCAGACATGGGGAGAATTATAATTCCAATGCTAATTTCAATTACATTTACAATTACATTGTGACTGCAATTCATTATGAATTTTACAAATATACATTTGTAATTGAGCCAAGGTTTGGAGAAAAAAAAAACTCAAGCTGTGTACAGCGTAGTCGTAAAAATTAGAACCACTTTGTGGTAAGCCAAACAAGATAAATAAATAGATAATGTATTTACAACCATTTAAGCAGGTTATCCCCTTGAACGTATTGGTTTTCTCAGGGTAACCTATCACCGGCCAAATACTCACTCAAGCTTATGATCAAACATTCCAATACAGGCTAAAGAGTTCTCAGACTCCTAATTAAACAAATAATATTCAGGGCCTACCTTGGCTCCTCCCACCCTCAACCAGTATATATACAAGGACTGTATTCTTGGAATTTCTCTCACTTGATACAGCTATCGTGCTGTGACAGTTACACATGAAGACGGAGGCTTGTGTTGCCTCCGAAACGTCGTGATTTTGATTTTATTTTATTTTAATTTATTAATTTAAATTTTTTACCTACGTGACTTTACCAAAAAAACCTAAGAATAAGAGTCTTGAGATTCACTGATGTTATCTGGTTCATATAATTCAATCATTCAAAAATTGCTTCCTGGCATAAGATTATAGGATTTCCACCACTTGCTTTGGATCATCAATTAAAATTGTGAACCACCCAATAATAATTTGTTGATCGGTACACCTGGCACTTCAACATAATTTACAGTCGTTAAACAGTGGTGTAAATGATATATTCCTATGAATGGGCACATAACATGTCCAAGTAAAGAATGCTAACGTGAATGGGGCGGGGACATCACCAAGCCAGTGCTTTTTTCATTTATTGCGAAAGTTCATGGTTCGAATCCAATAGGCCGCCCTGGTCATTACTGCAGTATATAAAAATCAAATATTCGGAGTGGACGTGAAAGGTTCCCTGACGTCATTCGAAACGAGTAGGCCATTGTGTGCCTGTGTCATGGTCAAAATTTGGCAAATTCGAAACATCATCCAATTGGGTTTACACATGGGAACATTGTCCTCGACAGTGAAATTTCTGCAAACTACGTGAAACGCAGCACCTTCATGACTGTACTCGACCGTTACTGTGTTATTAATATCTACAGGAGAGACGGTGACAGCCTGCCTGGTTATCTAATGGCCGCAATGTATTAATTTTATACTGCATTGCAATGTTGGCCTATTTTGAAAGCATACTGCCAGGGCATTAATTTGCCAACAGGCTGTTTTAAGATCTACTTTACTGCGAACAGCAAACGTTGGCAGCAAATTGTTACTTAAAAATGTATTTAGAATAGGCACGCATTCAGGCCACGTTTATGCTTTACACGAATACACTTTAAAATTAAGATCAGTCATCACACATGCTTTATTCACTGCTGGATGAAGGAAGGCCTTCTCTCGTCGTCTCTATCCCTCACGGCCTGAGATGCAAAAATCCATCTCGCTCCTGCACATAAGCAGAACTGGACAATAGTGAAAAAAAAACTCCATAGCTCAACGGATTCCTCCAGTCTAAATAAAGATTCTGATTCTGATCACATCGCTCCCTGCCACTGCTGACTAAGCCCTCTTATTCAAGTCAGAGATTAAGACCAATTCCCCCTCTGTAGCAGACTTACTTCTCCAATAACACTTACCCCCCCCCCCCCCCCCCATGGTCGCTCTTTCTCCTCTGCTGCTCCTACTGTCTGGCATTCCCCTCCCCACAAGGCCTCCTCTGGCCCGTTCACAAGCCCACACTGAGAACACTTTCCCTGCACTTCTTCGTCTTAGTTTCAACAACTCTCGTGGTCGGCCCCTTCTCCTCTGCTGTCTCAAAGGTCTGGACCTTCCTCTTTGCCCGTATTGCTTTCTCCCACTTCCACTTTTAAGTGCAGGCCTTAAATTATGTTTCCCATGGATAACTTTTGCCCTATTACCTCCGATGACCTCCTATTCCCCTGGGTCCCCGTGACCTAGGGTATTGCAGTACCCGTACCCCCTTTCTCGTAGTGTGGTTTCTTAAAAAAAGAGACATTTCACCCTAAATGGGGCCCTGCTTGTTATTTACGAAGGACACACGGGGAGCACGGCGTTCAACGAAGACTTTTGCACGTAAAATTAAATGACCCAAAGTCACTCAGAATGCGCCCGATCCATCTCGTCAAACCTGAGCCTGGACAGGCACTTGCGAGGGTGACCCCCCCGACCATCCAGTATTCCCAGCCGCTAGGCTATCGGAATAATAGAGCAGCAAACGCCACTTTTCCTCTCTCTATCTCTCTCTCTCCACCGTACACGTTTCTGCTTCCACCTCGATGCTCTCCGCATTTAACCAACAATAGGCGTTGTTGACCAGCCAGAAGCGTGGTCAAATAACCTCTACCACTCACGCAGAGGCCCTTCACCGGCCGACTGACACAACACGACTGTACACGGCACATGGTTGACTAGAAACCACCTCTGTCGCAGCCTCGCTGCATCACAACACCAGCGAGAGACACTCCACGTTCCCACGACGAGCAAACACTTTGGACTCACCGAATCTTCTGCACGACGAGGCCCTCGGAGTCGGCAGAGGCCGCGCGCAGAAGCCTCGACATCGACAGCCGGCAAGCAGCGAGCCCAGAGGCAGGCTGGAGCTTCTCGCCAGCATGACGAGCGAGCGACAACGACGTGTCACAAGCTACAGATTAATTCGCTCCACTCGTTAAAGCGACGACGACGCCGAGCGAGGCCTGTCCGCCCCCAGCGCCCCAGTCAAGGGCATGGCGTCAAGCGAAAGCCACCACCAGCACCACCACGTGCTTACATCACCACCACCACCACCACCGTCGCTCGCTCGCTCGCTCAATCTCTCACCGCCTCTCTTAATCACCGCGCATGTTTAGCCGCGGTAGTCTGGTAGAGTATAGCTTGATTGTTATTTATCGGAGTTACGTATAGATAATGCACGGTCGCTTCGCTCGCTCGAGTCGATTGTACGGTGGCGAGGCCGCCGTCGTCGCCGCCGCTCTAAACGCAAACGCGAAAAATGAACACCGCCCCCCACCGCGCGAGTTCCCGTAGCTCGATTTGCTAGATCGTATAGGCGGCCGCGCTGTTCACGTGGACGAGGCGTCGCTCAGCGTTGTCGCCAATAGCGGCGTATACCGATGTGCACTATGAGATTCAAACTGATAAACGTGCACTTCGCACAACGAAACTAATAATAAACGCACGCGACTGCTGTGGGTTGAGTTACGGTAGCCTCGATGGTTTAAAACATTCTCTATAATGGAGATGTTTTTTTTAGTTAATGTTGTTATGAGTACTCTTAGGTTTTTCGGTAAAGTCACGTAGGTAAAAAATATAAATAATTATATAAATAAAGTTAATACTTTATAGTTAGTTAATTTATATTATTTATATTATTTCTTATTATAATAGAAATAAGGAAATACATAAAATAATTATTTATAATTGCCGAATTATTGTATAATTATTTTATAATTATTATATTTCTATTATTTATATTATTATTATTTTTTTACCTACGTGACTTTACCGAAAAACCTAAGAGTATGAATCCTTGCAGTCACGAAAGCTTCAAATCTAGAATTGTTATGAGTACCCAATTCCCACGTTTCCTCTCCGTTGTTATAATTCGATAGGCGCGCGTGTGTGTGTTGTCACTCACTACATTTGTACGGCACAAATCTGCGGTGCGTCTTATATAATACGGCGTTAGTGCCCAAGTTGGCCACTGTACGTATTCTACGTGAGCTGGCATTTAAAAACATTTAATTCGCATCAAGTCTAACGGTGCAAAGTGCAGCTTTCCAACTTCATAGCTGTCAACCCATACGGTTTACCCAGTATTTTTGTACAGGGAAATAGAGTTTTCAGGTCCAGACGGCGTACAGATGTTTCAATACGGGCAAAAACATTGTGTTTTGTCTACTTGTGTGTGTTTCTCCCTTGTGATTGGAGATTTATAAGGGACACGGGGTGATCAATAAGGTCTGAATTGGTCTGTAATAAGGGTGGACAGGTGTGAATACGGTGCGATCCTTAAAGTGGTTGATGGGAGGATGGTTATACTCAGTGGCGGCTCCTGCAAAATCTCTCAGGGGGGGCAAATGTCTGGATGATTGATAAGGATAAGGTCCACCCATGCAATGGATAAATTAACAGCTTAAGCATGTAAAGGCAACTTCACTTCTTTAATATTAATGAAAAATAAAGTGACTCTTACAATACATCTTGTTTGTTTCTATACTCACTATTAAAACAAACCACTCAAGTTTCTTTTATTAAAGATTCCACTAGGTGGCCACAAATTATATTGTTGGATGAAACGTGCTTACGTATGATGACGTTAGCACGTATGATGACGTAAGCACGTTAGGGCGAGCCCTCCCGGAAGCCATAGAGAATGCATTGCAGCGCCCCCCGGTCGAAAAAAAACATATTTGAATGTAAGTCTATGGGACCACTCGGGGCGATTCTCAGCCGGAGTGAAATCGCCCAAAAAGAGGCGGTACTCCACAGAACGTGACATGACGCTGATTGGACTATATCCAGAGGCTGCAGTGACGGCTAGCGTGACTCTGTGGTTCAATGACATTGGTGGTGCGTCGCCCAATCGCCCTAATGAAGAAACCGCCCCTGGTTATACTGATAGGAACCCACTGGTTCCACAGCCCACAGGGGATTATTGTGTCCGTCCGTCGTGCAGGGAGGGGCTGGGTGGGGAGGGGAGGGTGGGGAGGGGCTGGGTGGGAAGGGAGGGGCTGGGTGGGGAGGGGAGGGTGGGTGGGGAGGGGAGGATGGGGTGGGGAGGGGCTGGGTGGGGAGGGGCTGGGTTGGGAGGATGGGGGGTGGGAGGGGTGGGGCTGGGTGGGGAGGGGCTGGTCACCCCGTGGTGCCCTTATAAAACTCAACGTTTAACCTACTCACGCCGGCTTGTGCCCGCCCTCACAGTTGGGCATATTTGCGGAATACACCACGCCGCCGTTGACCCTGGCCATTGACCGAGCAACCCAACGTTCCTACCAGCTCCCTCCGCAGGAATGTGTTTTTAATTCTCTACCTACTCACGCCGGCTTGTGCCCGCCCTCACAGTTGGGCATATTTGCGGAAAACACCACGCCGCCGTTGACCCTGGTCATTGACCGAGCAACCCAACGTTCCTACCAGCTCCCTCCGCAGGAATGTGTTTTTAATTCTCTACCTACTCACGCCGGCTTGTGCCCGCCCTCACAGTTGGGCATATTTGCGGAATACACCACGCCGCCGTTGACCCTGGCCATTGACCGAGCAACCCAACGTTCCTACCAGCTCCCTCCGCAGGAATGTGTTTTTAATTCTCCGGGTTGAGTCTCATTTACATGAGTGATCCGGGTCATCAAATTACAAAAGTAAAACAAAGTGCATTAATGAAGTCAATACAAATCGGAGCAAAAAACAACGGGCGTCACATGAGGAATCATTAATATTCCACGAACGTAAATCGGTGGTCAATGAAGTCGGCTCGGTCACATTTTTATGATACCGGCCACAGTACAATTATTATTAAGTTAACGGAAACATTGAAGAGATATAGGTTGACCATTATATGAATGTGTCAACATAGGTACGTCTTAGAAGGCCACTCTGTGGGGCGAGTGGTTGAGTGGACGGGATTAGTCAAAGTGATAGCATGAAAATTAGGTAGCGTAACACTCGCATGATACAGGGGTATTGTATGTGTACTGGCCTATTTCACATTTAATGTTCTACACGGCAAGCAGTTTCATCCAAACGATTGGTAGTACAGCTACATTTATATATTTGCCAGTAAGAGCCTTGACTGTTTATGTGGTTCCCAGGGACAAACTTGACAACAGTGAGAATTGTTGACCATGCTGTGTCGATTCCTAAACACATTCCTCCTACGGAGGGAGCTGGTAGGAACGTTGGGTTGCTCGGTCAATGGCCAGGGTCAACCGGCGACGTGGTGTATTCCGCAAATATGCCCGACTGTGAGGGCGGGCACAAGCCGGCGTGAGTAGGTTAAACGTTGCGTTTTATAAGGGCACCACGGGGTGACCAGCCCCTCCCCACCCAGCCCCACCCCTCCCATCCCTCCCATCCAGCCCCACCCAGCCCCTCCCCACCCAGCCCCTCCCCACCCTCTCCACCCAGCCCCACCCCTCCCTTCTTTGGATGCACGACGGACGGACACAATAATCCCCTGGCCAACAATTGTCTCGCTGATGCCTGTCAGTTGGTGGCATTTGTTCCTATTTGAAGGTGGCCTCAGACAAGAGGGCCGCAATGCAGTCCTGCAGGAACTGTTGGTGGCTTTTGCTTCATGCACGAGGACATGCACTTTAGGTATACGTTTATGTGTGTTTGAAACTTGTGATTTTCTGGCCTGCACCGTTTTATCTTCTGATGGGGGTTTATCGTCATTTAGATATTTGTTTATCGTTGGCAGCCTTTACAACATTTGAACACGTAATTATTGATTTGCACAAAAAACAACACCAAGTGAATCATTTACAATGTGATCCCAGCATTTTATTACACTCGAATATACAATATTGCGTACACTTTTTGCCCATTGTTTAACCGTTTTACTAATGCTTTCGGAACATATCCCACACAACACTAAATGCATATGAATTCATGCAACAAACACATATCTAGTTTTGCACAATGATACATCGCTGCTTTCCCAATTATGTCCGTGTCTGACTACCTCCCAGTACACTTATTAAGACCTCTAAGCGTAAATTGCTGTTAACATGGGGCCAAGACCTCCAAAAGGCATCTGTGTATTTTTTTTAATGATATCACCATGACTTTAGTCACAAACAATGACATTGCAAAAACACTGCAAACGTAACTCACCATTCAATGAACCATGAATTGCCAACAATGTACCATGTTCGCGTTTAAAAAACACACCGTTGTGAGTGGTCAGTCAAAGCATTCCAAATTATAGCCACCAACCATGTTTCCACCTCAGCGTAACTGCCGGAAAATCAGAAACATTGTCCAGTCTTTTTTCATATCTCGTCACAGTCCTATGAGCGTAGCTTGTATAACCTGCTTGCTGGGTTTTTTTCTCTTTCGCAGGCTTCTTCCCAGGCTATATTCAAGTCGAGAAACCGTGCTTCCTTTATACAACTCATCAGCTGTTTCTCACGCTTGGTTCCAGCCCTGTAATAAGTGCTTTGTCAACGAAAACTCAAGTCAGTCTGACTGAATAAATATAAATACACAGCAAATGTTGTGAACTTCAAATTACACAGGGGTTGTCAGTTCTTGGAAAATAGGAGGTTGTGCCATGGAAGTTTAAAAAAAGACAACCCTGCTGTATATATGGATATTTAGATAGGACAGTGTGTGATACACGTATGCAAACCCTCACATATAAGGGCTCATTGAGATGGGATACCAAAGCTTGTGCTAGTCTCATGCAGCTATACAGTATTGTGTGAATGCCACTGAAAACATTAAGACAGCAAGTCAGTTACCATAGGAGCAGTAGCGTGGGAATTGAGTGTGCAGACGGTGCATCTGCAGGGCTCAGGCGCCGAGCTACGTAGAGGAGGGAAGACGGCCAGGTGGATCCCCATTTATTCATTCCTTGCAATAGGGGCTAAGTTATTGTCTAGAACAGAACCTTTTCTAGCAAGGGCGATATTATACAATCACGATGCTAGGATGCAGCGATGAATAATAGGGATGGGTAACTGGCCAAGTGGTAGGAACGCTTGCTTCCAACGTCACAGGTTCATGCTCCTGTGGTGTGCTTTTTCCACGGCAGTGCAAGGACATTCCATTATATGCTCAATGGATAAACCAACTGTAATCTAATAAGCAGGATTCCCTAATTATATATATATAAACATAGCTTGTATAATAAACACGCCTTGTGTTGCTTATTCAAGCTATGATTTTACGAGACCTAGGAAGCCAAGCAGAGTCAGTTTAGTACTTGGAGGGGCGACTGCCTGAGAACACCAAGTGTTGTAAGCATCAGGTCACCAGGAGATGGCAGTAGAGCAATGGATTCTCGACTCTTAACTGAACTTTGTAATGCTCTCTTTTCTGTATGAGGTTTTCTCCAGGTACTCTAGTTTGCTTCAACAGGCTAATCATTAATCGAGTTAGATAAACATCCCAGAAGGCTATTGAGATTGAGTGAAACGTTCCTGGGCAAACAGAGGACATGTTTATGTTTAAGCGTATGGCTAGATGCATCTTATAAATATCGCAATAAATACCAAAGACTCTACAACATTTGGCTCCATTGGAAAATAATTAAATGAATATGCGTTTGATAACATTAGTTGTTTATCAGTTTATGATGTTTGTGGATATCAATTTGGCAAGCACTGCAGTACATACTAACTGTTCTGCTGCAAAGCACAGCTGCATATGACAGCACATGCATGGCATGTTAGCACTGCTGATTGAATGGATGCTGTAAAAAAATCTCACCTAATGAATTATGAATCACAATGCTTTGAAAGCATTCATATTCATATAACACAATGTTTAAGCGTTAAGGAAAGCAGATAGGCTTGGCCAGGACACATCACTGAAAGAGATGATGTCTGATTGATGGTGATGGAATATCAGCCAAAGGAGAGAGCACGCCGGATAGGATGACCCATCGAGGAAATGGAGCGATGAAATCAGCTCATGAGCAGCTGATGGACTGTGGCATTGCAGGACCTCATAAAGGACAATGACAATAAGGAGAGGCCGTCATCTGTTAGTGGATAAATGGTCACTAATGTTGATAATATACAGCATATATGTTTGGGGTGGTCCAAATGTTCGGGGTGGTCCAAAGCATTTGACAGCAATAAATTAAATATTAACAGAATACGATGATGTGAATGCAATTATTTTATTGTCATATTTTTAAAGTTAATATATAATATTCAAAAAAGGCAAAAACATTAGCCCAAATGATTGTTCGGTTTGTTTCAAATGAAGCCGAAGTTTTTTTTTAGAAATCATTTTTCTTTTTTTTCAATTGTGCTCTCAGCATCATATCATGAGATGAAATGTCCATTCACAACTTTCGCAGAACAGCGCACTGGTTATAGAAAGGACTACAAAAGCAAATATAATAGAACTACTTTTGAGATCCCTTTCAGTGCCCTCTTATCGGCACTCAGGGTCCTGAAATACATGCCTCACTATAGAGATGTGTACATCACTTTCTTAACTCTCAAGGATGTCGCCAAATTTAATGAAAAGCTAAATTTCCCTTTGTGTTTTTTCGTGCATTATTGACCAGGTTGAAACCATACATTCATTATATTTTAAAACCCAGTTTAATTAGTGGAGGCTAAAATCTGGATTCAAACCCAGGATTCCAGCCAGTTCTCACCCCTGAACCATCTGGCCTCCTCTTCATTTATGACTCTTAAATGTTTTCACCACTTGTCATTCGGCCCGTGAACAGAAATTTGGGGCAATGGTACAAAATGTTGACTGGGAGGCCTCATAATTTTCTATGAAAATAATAAATAAAAATCTTATAATTTGTTTGGGGTCTCCCTGAGCTTGGAGTCCCAGTAGAAGTTGTACCCCATTCCTAATCTCTCACAAGGCTTGCCTGTCATATACTGTAAACACAAGTACCCAGATGGCACTTTGACAGACATTCTCATGTCACGATTGAAGGGTTGGAACAATCCCGTTCGGGATTGACTTAGCCCATCATCCTTATGGGGTTGATAAAATAAATGCCCGTACAACTTCATGGGACGTAAACAGTGGTTGTCCTATGGATATACTGGCTCTGCCATGGGAATGTAGAATTTGCACCGCTGACACGGGCCTGGCAGTAGAGATGAGTGCCACCCCAATGGTAGTTTAAGCAGGGAGGCACTCAACTGTGAATGCTATAGATGTTATGAACAGGCTCCTCAGGTAATTATAAATTAAACAAACAACAAATAGAAGTTTACATTTGTATACAGTACTGTGTATAAAAATGAATTAAGAAGTCACACTAAAAAAGTCACTTTCAAAAGAGAGGGTACCTTGGATTGTTCTTAGCTAAAGTAGCTAGTTCATTCAAATAATGTACACCAAAGTTGCGACAGATACCCATCATAGGAATGTGGAATTTCTGCCAATGGTTCAGTACCACCAAGGGAAAAGATTGCGACCACCTCATTTCCGCAGGGAGACAATTTTATCTTTAGATTTTTTTGAGTGTTTTCCATCGTTCAACGTTTTGCAAGGCAATATCTGTCATAATAATGCAATGCCGAATGAAAGCAAGAACGCAAATTTGATCTATCGTGTTATTACCATACTGTATATACGTACTTGAAGTCCTTTTTGGTTAATATATGCAAAGCATCAGTATAGTCTCATCTATATCATATACCTTATGTTCATGGAAATATTTTCCGGAAGGTTAACATATTAAATACATTTTGTGCGATTTAGCAGGAAGTCAAATACTGTAACATGATATCCACATTTAACAAAAACTTTTCTGAATAATATAAAGACTAAAAGTGTCACACCTAGTGACGTGAGACCATTACAGTGTATGGTTAAGTATTGCCATATAGCGACGTGGCCTTCGTCTTATTTAAAGGTGTTCAGCTCTACCAGGCAGGGGTGGAGAAACTTTTTCCTTGCCGAGGGCCGAATATGACTTTCAAACAACTTTTGGCATAGGGCCACACGTTAACACACGCCTTAGCGTTATTCAATAACAGTAATAGAATTACGGCTCACTTTTACAGGTGAAAAGACTGCTAAAATTAGAAACGGCGTTGTTTGCCAAGTCGAAACATCTTCCCCTCTAGTACCCAATTCGTGCAGCTAAAATGCTGGCCTCGTGTGGCAACCAGTCCGTGGGTTACCCCACCCCTGCTCTCAGGATATGTCTCTCTAACTCAGTGTTCTTCATTGCAAGGCCACCAGGGGCCACTCACGGCCCCTGGTGGCCTTTAGTGTGGGCCCTGGCGTGCTGTCCCCGACAGTCAGAGGTCGCAAACGGGTTTTGATTCCTTACCCGTACCCGTACCCGGCCGCACCAGGGTCGCAAATAAGTACCCGTACCCGGCCGGGTAATTGCCCCATAGGTGTTCTTTTTAATTGATATATTCTCTATTTAACACGTAGTAGGCTTTCGCGACCAATATTATCCATAAGAGGGTTTTTTGCGTTAGATCGCGTAATTGTAAATGTGTTGTTAACCCCGCCACCACCCGATGCAGCCAATTAGTAAGGTTTGTCACGGGTACGGGTACCCGTTCCCTACCCGTACCCTACCCGAAATGAGTGACAAACGGTGACTCACCAGTGACTCACGGCCTACCGGTACCGGTACCCGTACCCGGCCGCACCAGGGTCGCAAACGGCTACCCGTACCCGGCCGGGTATCGGGTAGGGTACGGGTATCGGGTACCCGGTTGCGACCTCTGTACATAAATGTGAAAACACTCCTTGCATGCATGCGGTGTGGCGGCCCTCACACTGATGTCTTATCGGCGAAAGTGACCCCCTCTAAAACATTTGTAAGAACACTACTCTCTAACTGGAACTACAAGCTGGTGACATATACTGGACTATATGACGAAGGTGTGTACAATGTAGTGGCATGTCACCGTGGCTCCAGAACCGGTGGACAGCGAGCTCCATTTCTTTTTTAAACTGCAGTTGGCATGAGCACATGGTTTATTTGTGAGTGTACAACAGAAGAAGTGAAGACGATGTATCATGTGCCAGTGGCTGCTAACGTTGACTGTCACCAGACCTTGTCCTCCCCAAGAGGCTGCATGGATTTCTTGGCTAGAAAACCCTGAGACGGAGGCCACTGCAAGTGGCGTAGCGATCCTGTGCGCAGGCGGTGTAACTGCACCCGGGACCGACTGGCCGGAGGTTGGTCCAGGCCAGAGGTCGCAACCGGGTACCCGATACCCGTACCCTACCTGATACCCGGCCGGGTACGAGTAGCAGTTTGCGACCCTGGTGCGGCCGGGTACGGGTAGACCGTGAGTCACTGGTGAGTAACCGTGTGTCACTCATTTCCCAACGTCTTGTCTCTTCTCACAATTCAAGTTCCTAGAATCAACCCACCCACGCCTGCAACGTGGCTTCATCCCAGAGGTCGCAATCAGGTACCCGATACCCGTACCCTACCCGTACCCGGGTACGGGTACCCGTTTGTGACCCTGTTGCGGCCGGGTACGGGTAAGGAATCAAAACCCGTTTGCGACCTCTGGTCCAGGCACATGACGGCAGACATGGGGTACCAATCCATTATTTGCACCCAGGGCTCATGACAACCACGCTATGCCAGTGCCCCCTGCCTGCGTGAGCTGGAACTTTAGCACGTCACTGGTAAACTTGTATCTTGATAACCGATGCCACGAAAAAATCAAAGCAGAGTAGAGAGTTTCGTGAGTTGATTCAGGTGAGGCTGATCGATAGAGACTTCGTGTGGCGACAGGAGGCGGGCTTTAGGAAGTACAAGCTATGTATTTCTCTGCATCATCACACGGAAATTAAGAATTTTTTAATTGACAAGCAATATGGCAAATTTGTAAAATATACAGGACAGGGGAGTGATCTTACCTCTGGCGAGACTGTAAAATATGTACTCATTGTGCCCCAACTTGGTTGTAGAATCCCTAGAAGTGGCCCTTTAATGCCAGCATCATTGCCCCATATGTGTTGTTTTTAAGTGATCTATTCTCTATTTAACACGTAGTAGGCTTTCACGACCAATATTATCCATAAGAGGGGTTTTTTTGCGTTAGATCGCGTAATTGTAAATGTGTTGTTAACCCCGTCACCACCCGATGCAGCCAATTAGTAAGGTTTGTCACGTAAACAAAATATGCCAATTAGTTACTAGTTCAGTACACCCGGTGTGTTGGAGAGTAAACCGACATCATTTGCAATTCGAGTACGACGTTTCGCTGGTAATTACAACCAGCCTCATCAGGGCGACAGTCAGAATTGTTGAGAAATCCTCCAGTTTCGGTCTTCTCTATTCATCTGTGTGTGTGTGTGTCTCTCTTTCTCTCTCGTTCTCTAGCTTGTTGGATCGCGAGAAGTGGAAGGCAATCTTCGACGAGTTTTCAGAGACCGGCTCTGCGTCAAACACAGCCACACACAACACACGCACACATAACGCCATCACAGCCAGCATAACCACCGTGAACAACGTAAGACTTACTGAATCCGTTTAATTAACCACCCAGAGATAATTGCAAAACAACGACGTCACACATCCGACTCACTGGGGACTGAGGAATGGACAGAAACGTGAAACGATGTTGGGAGCTTGAGCGCTTGAGTTGATTGATTTTGGCCCACGTGGTCTATGCTCTGTGTCGCCCCAATGCTCTTGGTCATGGTTTCTTTTTGTTTATTTGTGGAGGGTTTTATTTTTTAACCTTTTCTGTGATGTTCGTTTTTGGTACCGTGAGACGTTTGTACGGTAGGTCAACATTCTCAGCGGTTTTAAGATGCAATTTGCATGAATGACACTATATATGAACGAATTATTATATGTGAACATCGATAGAAAGTAAGATATCATGCACAGACGCTGTAGGTTAATGGACAAAAACAATCAAATGGGAAAACGCTTTACCATACAACACTTTAGAAATAAGCGAATGCACGCGATATTAAGAATGAATTACTATTTGTGAAAATTTTAACACGTAGGCTTTCGCGACCAGTATTATTCATAATAAAGGTTATTGGGTTATATCGCGTTATTTATAAATGTGTCGCAACTCTCCACCACCCGACACGGCCAATCAGTAATACAATTTGAATTCACTCTTCAAACACACCGGTGGGCTGAAGAAGTAACTAATTGGCGTTTAAAAAAAGAAAACAAACAAATTAAATTACGACGTTTCGGAGGCAACACAAGCTTCCGTCTGATGGCCAAAGAGTATGGATCCTTGCAGTCACGAAAACTTCAAATCTAAAATTGGCGTTTTGTTAACGTGACACATTTCTTACCGATTGGCCGTGTCGGGTGGTGGAGGGTTGCGACGCATTTATACTTACGCGATCTAACCTAAAAATCTTTATTATATTTGTAAAAATGTCAGATTTGTGAACGACGATAGAGATTTACAGTTACACCAGGCAAAGCTACGGCACTGGGTGTGGGTGGTTCATTGTTCACAGGGGATGGGAGCTTGTGAAGGTCGGATATGTGGCATTGTTCCGTACATGAAGATTCCAAAACAATACATTTCAATAAAAGCATCATCTGTTTTGCCAACAATTAAAACAATGCAGTGCCTCATAAGGTGTTGTGGGCTGTGCGGGAGTGAGCAATAACTCTGGGCGGGTTTTAATTACTGCAGCAAATGTTGTTAGGTTTTTTTTGCAGATCTATAGCATGCACTCAGAATAGTCAGTTATAATTCTCCTCAAAAGAATATTAACCATTTTCAAACAATAGGGGTTTAATTTCCTTCCATTTTAAGATTCAAATACACTACATTATTGATCGTTAGATTATATTGCATACATACAGATATTGACCCTTTTGATGAAACATGCACAATTTTAATTTGGAAATGACGAGCGTCCACAGCGCAAACAGTTATGTCCATGAAATGTAAAGACAAAATATATTCCTGCATGAAAACTAGCCACATTTAAATCACTAAAACGACTCCCAAGATATTACATCGCTCAGCCAAGTCTTTGTTTACAATGACTCAATGGGCTCTCATTTAGTTACACTAAAAATATTAGCAATGTTATTTATTACCCTGCACTTTGCAAACAAGATTTCTCTTAATGCATAAGAGACACGTGAATGCCAACTTTTTCTCACCTGCTCATAAAGCAAAGGCCCAGTATTAAACCTTTGCAGAGCGGTGCTGCCATGGCATAATGGCTAATACAATAAACGTAGTAGTAGTATTATTATTATGCGGCTTAACCAAGGAAAGCCTCACTGAGTCTCATGACTCTTTTTCCAGGAGGGTCTTGCCAAGTTTGCCTGCATGAGCAAGTAGTTGCAAGGTTGTCCCTTTTACCAGTATTTTGCGAGAGTTCTCTTAGTGCATAAGATATACTCTGAATTTCATAATTGCATCACCTGCTCATATAGCAAAGGTTCATATTAATTTAATGGAAAATGTGGGCTTATTTGTTTGACCTAATTACACGATGACAGGGCACATATAATACACACAATTAATGCTTCTCGCTTTTTGCCCGGCACAGATGAATAGTTGTATGAATCACCAACAGTGAAGTCATGGATGGAGAGTTAGAAGCACACACAAGTGATTCAAGCATGGGGTGGGAGTGGCCACTTTCAAAGATTCCACGGATGGGGCACAGAGTGGAAGAAGAATGCAATGAACGTCTAACGACCATTACCTCTTTTCCACGTCTTTTTATGTCCTCAAAATAAGTTCATACTTTTCTGCAAAGGGTGGAAGATAACCACAATAACATTTGGAATTACTGTATTTTTTTCTTTCTTTCTAAAAGGTGTTTAAAAATTTTCAGTTTTTATTGTAACTTTTGCCCTTGGGGTTTAACTCTCCCTCCTCACTGGAATATCAAACAGTAGATGTTATTAAAGTTTATAAATGTAATGAGGTTAAAAAAACAGCTAAATAAGGATTTTTCTTAAAGGCACATCCAAAAAAAGTTTTGGTTCGAATATGAATAATGGCCATTGCTCTGAGTTGTCATAAAATAATACGCCAAGGGGTTTGTGAGAAACAAATGCGTTTATCATACATGTCGTATGCGTGCATGCGTGCATGGGGAGAGGCGGCACAGTGGTTAGTGCACCGCGCTACAAACCCGGCGACACGAGTTCAATTCTCGCTTACAGCGAACAACGGTAACGAATAGATGGACCGGTCCTGGGCCTCCCTTCGGATGACTCAGCCTTAATTGAGTACCTGGTGCAATGTATAATAAACAACATCATTTGGGGAGCCAAAGGTGGCCTGGGCATGGTGATGGCCACACCACCCCCTGGTGTGCCATGCCGGCCGTTATAGGTGTTTGTTAACGGCACTTGCCCGAACAGTCTGTTAAAGGCTATATGGAGATCTTTGTCTTTGTACGTGCACGTGCGCGCGCTCACCACATTCCTGGTGAACTTCTCAAATGAGGTCCGGCGGTCCTGGTTGTATTCAGACTGGTAACGAAAATAAAATGCTTCTTGCATAAACAGCACATCGTCCATCAATTTATGACACGCTTAACATTATTTCAAATTAACTGAAAAGAGCAGTAGTAAACATTGTATTAGTCTTCGTCATACGGAAAGATCACCACAAGCACAAATACAAACATATGAGCAGATTAATAACGTTCAAATGCCTGTGCCAAATATGCCTTGGGGTGAGTGATTATAACGAGTGAATGTTTTATATATATGTGTATATTTGAATAAGAGCCTAATTTGGCGAAGTCATTTTTAGTAATGATCATAGCGAATGGCTGAAAGGCCAAACGGATGACTGGTGCCTGAGGGTAATTTTACGTTGCACTATATCGGGTACCAGAAACACGTGAAATAAAGAACAAACTAAGCAGCTGCTGCTAAAACTCTATCAACGTGTCCTGTGTATTGTGCACGGTACACACAAAACGCACGTGTGACTTTCTGCCATTGAGGACTTATGCGCCAAACCTCATTGTCAAAAACGGTGACCGTAAAAGTTCTCCTGTCTGTGCATTTCAAAATGACGAAAAAGGGGAGCACACTTCCCGCCTGCAACCGCAGTCACGCACCTCTCTGTCCCCCGAGGATGTTCATGGATTTTAGTGGGCTCCGATGTGGTCAGAGGAAAGACACCAAAGTTAAAGGGATTCAACGGTTACCGAGCGTGGGGGGTTTTTGTTTTTAAATCCTTTATATTAAGTTCACTTGCTTGCTTGATTGCTTGCTTGCTTACGACCGTGCAAATCTTTCGGTCGTTTTTTAACCCACTTCCCGTGATCCAATCGAGCTGACATTTTGCACACAGACTCGTTGTGCGTGACAATTTATTTTCGTGAAAAAATGTTTAAAAAATTTTCCACTTTGTAGGGAAAAATAAAATGTCATATTTAATTTAAAATACCAATGTGATAAAAATGAAACTCTTACTCAAGAAAAACAGAAATGAATAATAAAATAAAACCGATGCCACGCATATAAAGGATTTATAGTGAAAAACTTTGTTTTTACGGGTTAATTTTTTGCGGTTCGTGTCGCTGCGCATCTCTCTGGATTCGGGTGGAATCCCCAACGAGGCGCGATGTTCCACCCCACGTGCCGGGAGGTTCCGACTCGGAATCAGATTCCTTTGTTTGGACCGGAAGAATCCGATGAGCTACGAAGCTCTTTTGCAAAGATGTTCAGTAGTAAGGGGGCGGGTCAGAAACTTAGCAACAACGAACAAGACGAAAACACGATACGAGTGCAAAGTATAGGAAAGGCAAGCAAGGCACTAAATGTAAATAATAACAAAGAAAGTAAACGAGTGCAAGTTTCATTCGTACGTAAATTTCTCCTGGAGTTCTTAAGGGACAGTGGACATCGTGTGGAGAAAAAAAACACGCGTCTCTACCCGAAAGCACATCGGAGAGATTGGATGGTTGCCCGACGACAAACCTTTTTCCTCGTGAGCAGCACCTCCTGGTAGATGGGTGAGCGAAGGAAGCGAGCGTAGCTATCGCTCTTCATCAACTTGTAGATGTGCTCCTAGACAACAACAGCAAGTAGAGCAAGAATGTGGATCATTATTTTGTAATAATCATCATCATCAACAAGGTGATCGTCATCAGCCGTTATCTATCTAGGGCTGATCAAATGCATCTCTGTGCAGTCGCCTTTCCCACGATTTTGCGATACTACAAATCCATGTTACCCGTGCAGATCAATGGAGGCTGACAAATTATCCATTCATATAAATAGTAACTAGATATACTTTATTCAGGAAAGCCTATTGAGTCATAATACCAGAGCTGGCTATGCAATTACCGACTGCTCTACCAATTGTCGGTTCCATTATCCGACCAATCAGATAACAATAGTAATATATAAAGTAAAGTATAACCTCACTTCCACGTGTGCCGCTGGACTGGATGTGATGGGTGGGGGCTTGGTGGTGTCATCGATATCATCAGCCACACCACACTGGGTGTGGCTTGTAGGGGGTTTCCTGCCTTTGGGACGCAGGATGTATTGGCGGCCGCCAATTTTAAAGGGGCTAAATTAATCGACCACAAAAAAGCAGTCGATTATTTTCCTGAATCTACTAATTGACTCGATGGACTCACTGTACCAGCTCTACTCTCTAGTCTACCAACAACCTAGAAGATATTTCCGCACCCAGCACACCACATCCAGTATGCCTTGGCCAACGGTCAGCGATGCTACTCCAGCCTATCGGGATTAAACCGTGCCCTCTATCGGGCGGCGCGGCAGGCACCTGAGCGTCCTCGAACGTGTATCTGCACGGCTCGCGGATGTTTTGCGCCGTACGCTCGAAGCTGTGCGAGTCCAGGTTGATGGAGTTGAGGGCGCCGGGCGCCAGGAACTCCTCCCAGATGCGCTGCACATGCTCGGGCACCTCGCGCAGCGGCCGTCGTTTCAGCTCCTGCACCGCCTGCCAGAACCTGCGGCGGCACCGTCCGCCACTCGTCTGTCGCCTCTAGCTGGGTAGATGTCTGGATATCTGCAGGCCTGTGCCATGTCGTCTGGTCTATCTGGTCGTGTCAATTTGGATGTACAGCGGTACCTCGGTATACGTCGTTAATTCGCTCCAGAAGGTAGGACTTATACCGAATATGACGTGTACCAAACGCATGTTTCCCATAAGAAATAAAGGGAAAGGAAATAATCCGTTCCAGAGTATAAGAAATGATATTTTTTCTGGCATATTATACATTAATGGGGTTATATAAAATAATTTAGACACTACTTATTACTAAAATGCGTACATAAATTAAAATAAATTTAAATAAAAATACAATTTAACATCATTTTACCTTGCTGAGAGGAGTCGATAGCCTACGAGGATGGTGGTAAGAAAGGGGAGGAGTCGTGAACGGGGTCTACGCGGGTACGCGGTGACCCATCCTGACCCATACAAGCTCTAACAAGCGCGTCGTATCCCAAGCAAGACGTCATATCCCAAGACATTTTTTTTTTTCTCGTCAAAACACGACGTATACCAAATTCGACGTATTCCAAAGCGGTCGAGGTATGACTGTATATATGTGAAGTATTTGAATTGACGGCAGGAACTTCTTGACGGGTAACACACTTTTATTAAATCTTGACGTATCACAATACAATGGGTGGTCTCTATCCTTTGGACTATACACTCCACTTAACTCGTGTAGACTCTATGCCTCTAGCTACACACAACACACTTGACTCGTGTAGACCCTATGCCTCTGGCTACACACAACACACTTGACTCGTGTAGACCCTATGCCTCTGGCTACACACAATGCATTCGGCTCGTGTAGACTCTATGCCTATGGCTACACACAATACACTCGCCTCTGGGTTACACAGAGTCCCGGTCCCGTTAGGACAGCGGGACTAGGTACTGCAGGGCCCTAGGTCTTCATCCCCGTCTTCATTCTTCGCTGGTTACATACTGCCCTTACGCCTGTGTGCATCCCCTTTTATAGCCCCTGCTCACGAGAGACGGAGCTGATGCGGACGTCGATGTGAGCATCGCTCCTTAGTGAACCAATCACGACGCACTCTCTCTACGATCCGTTTTCCCCAGCGCGTGTTAACACTACTCCACCAATCACACCGCGCTGCCACCCGGTCACTCCCTCTCAGCGCGTCACCGGCCCACAGCCAATCAGTACCCCGTAACCCACGACCCCGCGCTGACCCCTGATCCTCCACCGTCAGCGCGCGTCACCACATACACAACCAATCATTACGCGCTGGCATACGATCCCTAATCCCAGCGCGTATCACCACTACATCACCCCCTCCCACATAGCTTGCAGCCGGCCCGGCTGTTAACCAACAACACAACCCAACGTTAACGCAATAATAAAAAAAAGAACCCCATCCCCCCCCAGTGTGCCCCGTAACGCAACAACAACAACACTTAATTAAGAAGCAATATACAGCCCGACGAACAACACAATAAAAGCGAACACCAGAAAACGAACGCGCCAAGTGTCTCTGTGACTAAACGCAGTGACGAGGCGCTCCGGCTGCCTCGACTCCTCACGTGGTAGGTCATAAAAAGTTGGGGCGACCTAGCGCGAGTCCGTCTGGCCGGTCCGTCGTATGGGACGGGACGCTGGCGACCGTCCGGTGGCTCCGGCAGCTCTAGACGGCGCGGATCGGGCCTGGAAGGACCGGCCCCGCCGCGAAGATTCGGCCGCCGGTGGTCGGCAGTTGTCAGTTCCGAGACACCTGGGAGCGGATCAGGCGGAGACATGTGAGGATCAGGCAAAGACATTTCCCCCTTAGGGTCGTCGGTCACGTCACATGCTCGGCCCTCACGACACAAGGGGAGGCCATATGGAGGCGAGAACGGTTTCAGTCGGGAGGGGTGGACGTACCAACGGCGTTTTCCCATTTTATCTGAACGCACTGGGGGCGTGCAACCCGCACGACCTCCACGGGTCCCCGCCATGGCTTCAACAATTTAGGCGACGTAGCCAAAGGTGCCTGAGGGCAATGCAGCCAGGCCCTGTCACCTGGTTCCCAGTTGTGCACGGACACCTTCCGTGCACGCAACCGCTCGTTTGCAATTTGGCGAGCCCGCGAATTAAGCCGTGCGGCCTCCCTTGCCTCTGTCAGCTTATGAATATTAAATTTAATATGCTCTGCCAATTTCGAATTAGTTCGCGGTGCGGGCAGGCCCAGCTGCGTTTCCATGGGCGGGTCGGCTTCCCGACCGTACATCAGATTAAACGGGAAAAACCCCGTAGCTGCATGGGGGGCCATTCTATACGCGGCGAGGACCCCAGGGACCTGCAGGTCCCAATCAACATGTGCCTCACACACCTGCTGGCACAGCATAGAAGTCAATGTCCTGTGGAGCCTCTCCACCATCCCGTCCGTCTGCGGGTGGTACGGGGAGGTACGCACCTTCTTAGTACCCAACAGGTCGCACACCTCTTGCAGTAATTTACTCGAAAAATGTTTCCCTTGGTCGGTCAGCAAGCGTTCGGGAGCCCCCTTGTCCAGGACGTAGCCCTGGACAAAGGCGTCCGTCACAGCCGCCGCCGACTGGTTGGCGAGTGGCCACGCCATAGGCCACCGGGTAAAATATTCGACCCCCACCAACAGGTACTTATTACCCCTAGGCGTGACTGGAAAAGGCCCCAGAATATCGAGTGCAACGAGCTCGTTAGTGCGCGAGACCTGAATAGATTGCAGCGGTGGATTAGCTGCCACGGGCGGTGGTTTTCGTCTGGCGCACTCAACACAACCCTTCAGAATATTCACCACGTCACTCCCCATTCCCGGCCAATAATAGTCACGCTGAAGCAGGGCAAGCGTTTTGTTAACTCCCAAATGCAAGAGGCGTTCGTGTGCGGCCAAGACAACCTTCCCCCTCACAGCAGAAGGCACCACAATCGCGTGCCACCGGGACAAACTGTCCCATCTCATTAATAGGCCTTGCTTAAGTACGTAGGAGCCAGTTCGTTCATGGTCACCTTCGGAACCCCCCGTCCTGCGGCGCAATGCTAGCAGGGAGCTGTCCGCCATTTGGAGACGGCCCCACTCAATCAGCGACAGTGAGAGCAGCGAGTCCTGACCCCCTGGGGTAGCGGGAACATCCCCAATTGGTGTGCCCGCGGTCGCAACCAACGCCTCCATACCTTCCGTAACTGGCGGTTTACAGCGCGCCGATCCCGATAAGCACGCACATTTGTGACAAGGCAACAACCGCGACAGGGCATCGGCATTTGTGTGTCGCAACCCCTTACGGTATGTAGTCGTGAACTGATAGTCCTGGAGGACTTCCAACCACCGCGACAATTGGCCCGAGGGCTGGGCGACCCGCAATGAATACTGGAGCGCCGCGTGGTCCGTCCGGACCGTAAAGTGACGACCATAGAGATATGGTCTGAATTGTTGTACGAAAAAAACAATGGCAAGCAGCTCGCGACGGGTGACGCAGTAGCGCTGCTCTGCCGGCGACAACACCCTGCTACCATAGGCGACCACCCGTTCGACCCCTCCAACGACTTGGGACAGCACCCCCCCAATGCCCGTGTTGCTAGCATCCGTGTCAAGCAGGAAGGGACTCGCAAAGTCAGGATAGCGCAAGGGTGGGGCCCCTACCAAGGCGTCCCGGAGGGAGCAGAATGCAGCCTCCTCCTCCGGTCCCCATCGGAACTTCACTCCTTTCGCCGTCAGAGCGTGCAAGGGTTTTGCAATGGTGGCGAAGTGCTCAACGAATCGGCGATAATAAGAAGCAAAACCGATGAAACTGCGCACGTCCGAAACTGACGTGGGCGTCGGCCACGAACTGACACAGTCCGTCTTCGCAGGATCGGTAGAAATCCCCGAAGAGTCGACAATGTGACCCAAGTATCTAACGGATTTACGAAAAAGGTGGCATTTGGCCGGTTTAAACTTTAATTTAGCCGATCGCATTCGCAAGAACACCCCTCTCAATCGCTGTAGGTGTTCTTCAAACGTTTTACTGAAAACAATGACATCGTCAAGGTAAATCAGGCACGTATCCCATTGCAAGCCCGACAAAACCAACTCCATAAGGCGCTGAAACGTCGCAGGAGAGGAGTGAAGTCCCATGGGTAACCGGTTAAACTGAAACAGGCCCCCTGGAGTCCGAAATGCAGTCTTAGGCTTAGACTCTTCGTCGAGTGGCAACTGCCAGAATCCGGATAATAAATCAAGAGTCGAAAAGTATCGCGCACCAGACAATGCGTCGAGGGACTCGTCCATCCTGGGGAGCGGATACGCGTCGGCCACAGAGATCTTATTCAGGCGACGGAAATCGACGCAAAATCGCAAGGACCCGTCCTGCTTTTTAACGAGCACAATAGGTGCTCCCCAAGGACTGGAAGAAGGCGAAATAATGTCGGCTTCTAGCATATCGTTAACGACCGACTGAACATGTTCCTTCTCAGCAGGACTCAGTCGGAAGGGATTTAGCCTGACCGGTGCCGCATCGCCCGTTTCAATGTGGTGGCGTAGCAGGTCCGTGCACCCAATGTCATACTTATGTTTACTGAAGACATCCGAAAATTCAATCAGCAACCCGCGCAGCGCACCCAACTGTACCGCTGACAAATCGTCAGAGTCCGCGCACAGCGAATCGACCCATTCGAGGTCCTCCTTCGGTTTTACGTTTTGCGTGGGGCTCGGATCAGCCTGCGCAACCAGCCGCTCTTCCGCAGGGACCCGCGCCGCGTGAGCTAGCACGGTGCCCTGCTGAATGACGGCCGGCCGCGACCCAGCGTTTAAAACCATCACAAACGGATCCCTGTCAGCCCCAACCAAAGTGTGAGCCACCGACAGATCGAGACCTCCAACAGCCCTATTAGAAGGACCCAAAAGCATGCCTTGTTCCGAGGCCTCCCTCACCCATGGTTTCCGCAACCGGAGGGGAATTAACATTTGTGAACCCGGGGGCACGTGCACGGTCTGTGTCGCTAACGCTTGTATCGTAGCGCACGCCGTCCGAATTTCAGTAGGGCTCGTCAAAAATGAAATACGGCGACCCGATGGTAGTTCAATGCAACGCTGATCAATGAGAATTTTGATGGGCATTTTTGCCAAAAAATCAGTGCCCAATAGACAAGGAACCGCCAGGGAGGACGAAACGAAAACGGGTCACGACAATTTGATATCTCCAATGCAAATGGACGCCCTAATCTGACCGATAATGCCCAACGATCCCCCGTTAGCGGCGTAAAATGGCACATCTACCGGAAGAAGCGGACGACATTGTACAGGGAGAATGTTATAAATGAGGTCCGATATAATAGTCGCCGATGCCCCCGTGTCCACTAACACCCTGACCTCGACCCCATCAATAGATCCCGTAACGACGGATGAACCCGCTGAGGCAGCCACTATTCTGTGCCCCAACTCTGACCATTTAATGTCTCCCCGGTCCCGGCCGAACCCCCCTCGCCGAACCGAATCCCCGAACCCTACTCGGCTCTCCTCCGCCGCAACGCGACGGCCCATGCGTGTCGAGTATGCGGGCCGAGCATGTGAGGTGCCGCGACTTGCCGGGGTTTGCAGGGATGACTTGGGGCCTTGGTCGTCGTCCAGCCAAGGTCCCATGGCGCGCTGACGTGGGGCGCGGCAACCGGAGGCCACATGGCCCCGGAGGCCGCAGTTATAACACGTGATGACAGTCGTCGGAGATCTCGGTTGCTCCAGCTTGCAGGCCGATCGCAGAGGCGAACGACCCCCCGACCTCCAGTCCCCCGGTCGTCCCGCGATGAACGCCTCCTCTCGTGGGCTGACGACCTGGGGCACGGTGACTACCGGGCCCGGAGCTGAGGCCACGGCAGCGTTGCAGATGACCCCCTGTTTACGTTGAAGGACCTCGTGCGCTTGTATGCTCGTAGCGACCCGTAAGGAAGAAATATCGGTCTCGTCGGCCGTGTTGATGGGGACCCCCAGGTCCTGCGCCAACTTGAGCAGTTGCTCCAAAACCATCGCATCTTGGCCCTCCTCGTCCATACGAGGGAACGCGGCGTCGGCGAGAGCCAGCAACGCCGTGCGATAGGCGAGCACGGTCTCCGTGTCCGCCTTCCGTCTTGCATAAAAATGATGGCGACACGCCGAGGGAGGACCATAGACCTTGGCCATGAGAGCCAGCGCATCCTTGAGCGTGGAGCGGTCCGACCTGCGTGCGGACGTGAAGGCCGCGAGCGCGTTGTCGTCCAGCATGGCAGGCAGTGCCCGCAGTGCCGTAGCGTCGGACCAGGCGGACATCTCCTGATGCGCCAAAAACCTGCGCTGAAATTGGCCCCAGTCCCCGCCTTCCGCCTTGAAGGCTGACAACGTGGGAAGGCGCTGTTGAAAGATGAAGTCGTCCTCCTCCTCGTGCTTCCTCTCCGCCGCCCCGTTGGTGTGTAAGATGGCGGCCCCAGTGGCGGGTGTTTGATGGCGGTCCGCAGCGCGCGTTGGTGACGTAAGCGGGCGCGCTTGGAGAACCGCCGCCACGTGGTGATGGCCGTTCCCGCCAAAAGTCGGCGCGGATGAAATGGCGGGAATCGCCAAGTCATTTTGGCGGGAATCTGCGGGGCGACCCTGTAGAACGTCCGCCGCCGTCCCCGCTCCTCCCGACGAGCTGATCTCCGCCAGGATGGACGCGGCGGCGAGCAGCAGCTCCGCCAGACGGGAGTGCGCCTCGCGGAGCACGGCGTCGGTCCCCCGTCGCTCGTCCGGCGCCGTCGGCGGATCCTGCAGCGTGGGCAATTCCTCGTCCTCACCCCTCGATGCCAGCTGGCCCGAGTCGTCGAGGTTGTCCCCGCGGTCAATCCCGTGGGTCCGACGGGTCTTCCTTGTATCCATGCTTGGAAGACCGTTTCACTTCTGACGCCAGTTGAAGTATTTGAATTGACGGCAGGAACTTCTTGACGGGTAACACACTTTTATTAAATCTTGACGTATCACAATACAACGGGTGGTCTCTATCCTTTGGACTATACACTCCACTTAACTCGTGTAGACTCTATGCCTCTAGCTACACACAACACACTTGACTCGTGTAGACCCTATGCCTCTGGCTACACACAACACACTTGACTCGTGTAGACCCTATGCCTCTGGCTACACACAATGCATTCGGCTCGTGTAGACTCTATGCCTATGGCTACACACAATACACTCGCCTCTGGGTTACACAGAGTCCCGGTCCCGTTAGGACAGCGGGACTAGGTACCGCAGGGCCCTAGGTCTTCATCCCCGTCTTCATTCTTCGCTGGTTACATACTGCCCTTACGCCTGTGTGCATCCCCTTTTATAGCCCCTGCTCACGAGAGACGGAGCTGATGCGGACGTCGATGTGAGCATCGCTCCTTAGTGAACCAATCACGACGCACTCTCTCTACGATCCGTTTTCCCCAGCGCGTGTTAACACTACTCCACCAATCACACCGCGCTGCCACCCGGTCACTCCCTCTCAGCGCGTCACCGGCCCACAGCCAATCAGTACCCCGTAACCCACGACCCCGCGCTGACCCCTGATCCTCCACCGTCAGCGCGCGTCACCACATACACAGCCAATCATTACGCGCTGGCATACGATCCCTAATCCCAGCGCGTATCACCACTACATATGCACTGCCTGGCGGGAACATGTGACGTTACATTCTGTGATGAATGTAGAGACAATCTGGCTCTCTGGTTGTATACGGGGCGCTTAGAATTTGTTTTTACACTTGCATGGGACTATCGTTTTTGAGAATGAACGGATAATACACTGTAAGATCATAACAAATGTATGTAACTCATCATTGTCAACACATGCCTGGAATCATCTCCAGGTGGTCTCCAGAGCCCGGCAGGCACATTTATTGCAGTATTGTTGCAAATTCTCATAACTTATAAAAAAATGTTTAAAGCACCCTGTATATATATATTTTTTATTTGCTGTAATGAACGTGTCAACAGGGCTGAATGTGACCTGTGCACACTGTGTTGGAAGAGCGTCTCACTCCAGATTCTCAGAGCTGAACTCGGACTGGAGGAAGCGGAGGAAGCGATCTTGTCCTGCCGGGTCATGGAGCACTTCATCGAAGGAGAAGCCCCACCTCCTCACCTGCTGCTGGCTCGGATCCTTGCTAGACTTACGCACACACACACACGCACACACATGTAAAAAGACAAAGATCCCCCGTACAGCCTCCAAGGGCGGTTGGCGCAAGAGCTGTTATCGAGCACCTATGAAGGGTAGCACGACACACAACTAAAGGTCGGTGTGACCAGCACCACGCACGGCCGTATTAGTGTTCCCAGTGTATCATGGTCACAATCTGAACAATGTCCTGCAAGTGACTAAAATTTTAATATCCATAGCAATCATTGCTGCCATACTGCGATAATGTGCCGGGAACCTCCTGAAAAATATATTCACGGGACTGAGTGAAACTTTCCTGGGTAAGCAAGTATAATTATACTAGTGCTGTGAATGTGAGGTTGATGTAGAGTAGTTATTATACGGGACCATTACCTGACCTCCATGTCCCAAAACGTGGGGTCATCCGACTGCCAGGGGTTGGAAGGTTCCGTTGGAGTCAGGAAAGCATCATATTCCATGTACTGCTCTGAGTATCCAATCAGGCTAAATCAGTGATAACGACACACAGAGACACACACACACACAGACAGACCTGCGTTGAAACTTACTGGCACAACAAATGGCCAGATGGCTTAGGGAGCTCATAATTAAAGATGCATAAGCACCGACGGGAGCCAATGTTTGTATCCTGGCTAGCTAACTTCGCTTGATTAAATCAGATTCTCCAGCACGAGGGTTTGATTGGTGTCAGCCTGGTCACCAACAATTGCCAAAAGAGAGCATATTATAGACTTGTTTTCATTATACTTAGTTCCACCTAAGCCAGCTGTAAGGGATTAAGATATGTAAACAGTATTATTTGATGATGGATGAACACTTTATTTTGCAGAATATCAATGACCACCATTTACTTGCTATGTATGTGGATATTCACTTCCTGCCTCTCCCACCATGCAAGACAACACTGAATTGTCACAATAATGGGTCGATCTAAACGTGTATTGTTTTTTTTCTCTCGTTTTTACCGTCTCGTTTGTGCTGTTTCCGAGTTTTTAGTTTTTCGGTTTTGTACATTTTTTCTTTTGTTTCTCCTTCGCCTAAATGTTACATAGGCTTAAAAATGTACTTGCTACATGCAACACATCCTAATTGTTCATCATTTCTAACACATTAGCTTTCCTCAGCCCACACAAAAGTGTGTACGAAGTACTTTTCTTTTGCAGCTCGACTATTGAACATGTAAATAATAATAGTAATAAGGCAACGTGGCCTTAGCTGGATTAGCACTCACAAAAACCTCACAAATGAATACAAATAATCCGGCTGGGTTTGTTGGTCAGAAACCAATCACTTTCCACGTTATTAACTCGCCACTTAGTTTGACGTATACACCTCCATGCCCTTATTTCTAAACTCCATCATGCCCTTAATTGATCATAGACCCACTCATTTACCCAGCTTTAAACCGTATAGACCCAATCTTGAGTTGAAGCTTTCGTGACTGCAGGAATCCATACTCTTTGGCTATTTCGGTAAAGTCACAAAGGTATAAAATAAAATAAATCACGACGTCTCAGGCGCAACGCAAGCGTCCGTCATCAGGTGGGAAAGCACGGTCTGCTGCCGAGGCAGACTGTTAAAAAAAAAGTCAATTTTAAAAACAAAGAATTGTCACATACCTAATAATTAAGACCACAGTCACACCCCACTACCTTTCAGCCACTTTGGATGTCTTCATGCAGTGCCAGTTCAGCTGAGTGTTGAGAAATTCCACCTGTAGAGGGCAGAGAGGCACGTGAAAACCAGATGCGGCTCTATAGCAACTTAAACTCCTAATACCACAGTGACAAGCGCCGTTTGGACCCGTGCCACGTGATGGCAATTGCTCAATTTTCTCTGATATTGGTGCCAGTGTGAAATTAATAAAAAAAATTCAGAAGGGACATGCCAAGCTTTGGCAATAGGGGCGATGATTGCTTTGTGGATCCCAATTGAGTATATTTTGTGGGTAATTTTATAATTTTTGTATCATGAACCCCCAATGGCACGCAATGGCTTACTCTTGATTGATGTCACGGGATCTTTAAAATCTACTGTGAAGCATACGGTGTGGATTTTTACGGTTTAATACACCCGCAGTATTAACCGGGGCAGCCGATAGATTTCAATCTTGAACCGCTGCAACAAATGGCAAACGAGCTACCGCTGGAACACATCGCCGCCCTAAAACAACCAATGGTTGGAGCTCAACTACGCTGACAGCCCCAAGCCAATGGTAGAAATAACACATTGCGATGGCAGGGGCCAGTCTCTTCAAAAGACAACCACTGTTGACTTTCGACCAAATTGGAAAAGCAATAGGCCGAGTGCTGTTTGGCATTTGAACTCATATCTTCTTCGCATTGAACAGAGGCAGCGTGGGGAGGGTCGAGTGAGATTGGCACGAACCCGTCGACGTAGCTCGTCCATCGTGGGCTTCTTGGCATCGGGCGGTGGAGTTGGGGGTGGACTTCCTCCGGTGCACTCATCCTGCAAGCCGTACACAGACTGTCGGACGACAATGTGGGTGTGTGTGTATATGTGTGTGGGGAGCGGTGGCATCGCGGTTAGCGATGCCACCGACCCGAGTTCGATTCCCATTCAGGGCCTTCATAGATGCTCGCTAACAGCACTTGTCCCAACAGTCTGTTAAGGTAAGATGGGGGATCTTTGTCTTTGTGTGTAGATGCATGCGTCCGAATGTACGTTTTGATTTGAGTTTGGGGCGATAGGAATTGACTGATATTGAAAATCAATGCGCGCCTACACAATGCATAAAATGTACACTGCATAAGGTCAAATTCTATATACCCGACAGCCAAAGAGCAACATCTTACACTGTACCCGGTCCATTGTTACGCAGGGTGAGAGTGCAGTTGCTTTAGAGACTTGGTAATTGGTTGGGTGTGTGTATGTGTGCACATGTGTATTCCTATGCGTGGATAAGTGCCTGTGCGTTCTCATGCCTATGTATGTGCAGTGACGTTGAATGAGTCACTGTAGAGTGTGGCGCTGGGAGATTGGTAGACAATGGGATTATGGGTAGCAGCGCGTTCTAGCAGTTGGACCCGTGGGCCAAGCCCGGAGCCTTCTGGGGGATCCAGAAGTGGGCGTGGCCGAGGGCGGAGCCTGGCCACGCTGGGGAGAATAAAAGGCGAGCTCCGACTCGCAGTCGGGGCTGCTGCCATCGGGAATGGAACTCGTCGTGCTGCCGTCGTCGCGGTCTTCGCCTCTTGAAGCTGTGGGTCTGGAAGCATGTTGGCTGTCCTGACTCGGTTTGGAGTTATCCCCTATGGCTGTGAGAGCCGGAATAAACAAGAGGGACAACGCCTCCTACTAGTGTCTCTGAATTAGTACACTACATATGTATGCGTGTCTTTGTGTGTGTTTGCCTGTGCATGTGTGTCTGCATGTATTTGCATGCCTTAGTGCATTACGCTACAAATTCAGTGACCCGAGTTCGATTTCCGCGCGCGACCAACGTCGGTGATGTTTATCTGAACTGGGCCTGGGCCTCCTCCTCTAGGTTGACTCGGCCTCAAATGAGTACCTGGTGGGATATGTTAGCATCGCCACTGGGCAATGTTTACACAGAGCAGGAGTTGGAGGCACTGCTGCTGAACCTGGACCATGTCACTCAGAGGTGGGGCCTTATCAGCCCCACCAAAACTGAGTATTCTGTGCCATCAAACACTCCACCCCCTCAATTCCCCATTGGTGATGGGTCGGTTGTGGAGAAAGTGGAGTGCTTTCCATATCTGGGCAGTGTGCTTATGGCCAGCTCCGGTTTCACAGCAGAGGTCTCACTCACTCCGAACCACTCGGATGGCTTTATCTTTCCACTGGCTGCGTAACACTATGTGGAAGCTACCTGGTCTGTCGCTTCACACGAAGCTTTGAGTATTCTCGACCACAGTCATGCCATCCCTCCCTTCTCTGTGCTTGTGAAGCGTGGAACACTCTGATGGAACATCTTTGCCGGTAAGAAACATTCAGGCTGGCCTGCCTACTATCCATCCTGGGTTTAACCAGGGTGGATTGCGTGGTGAGCTCACACATCATTGAAAGATCTGAACACATTTCCATCTGTGAGCTCTTCCGTCGGGCAAGGCTGCGTTGCCTGGGTTATGTAGCCGCATGCACTGCTACCGTATGCCCAAACGGCTTCTGTCTGGCGAGATAGAGGGGGCTAAATGGGCACGACGTGGGCTGGAAAAGAGATGGACTGATGCGGTACAGGAGGTTATTGAGCTGAGCGGACTTGCCGAAAACTGGTACCAGCGTTGCCAAGATCGACCTCTATGGAGGACGCTCCTGGGCAGTTGAAGGCAGTCGCCCTCCAACAACAATGGAGGGCAGAGGAGCGACGCTCACAACAACGAGAGGATCGCCAGGCTGCTAAAATGCAGCAAGTTGGCACAGTAGGGGGCCACAAGTGGTGAATCGCCCAGTCATCTCAGTCGCTCCTGGGCAGTTGAAGGCAGTCGCCCTCCAACAACAATGGAGGGCAGAGGAGCGACGCTCACAACAACGAGAGGATCGCCAGGCTGCTAAAATGCAGCACGTTGGCACAGTAGGGGGCCACAAGTGGTGAATCGCCCAGTCATCTCAGTCGGTCAACCCATGGCACCTGCTGAGTCTGTCCCGTGACCTCTTGTCAGCGAGTCTTCGACACTTCACGTGCCATCAGAGTGCACGTGGCCTGGAACAAGTGCCGTGGGGACGTCACCACCACTTCGAATGGCGGGGACTGCTATTGTTGTTGTGAATTATGTTCGACGTGTGTGTGTGTCGCTGCGAGCGTCTCTTGCCTTGCGTATCCTGTGCGGATCCCGGATCCGACACGACTTCTTCATGTCCACCTCGGTGGTATTCACGCACCCTGGCTGCAACAAAACAGTCTCCATTATACACACGCACGCAATCGTCTCTGGCAGTGGCTCTTCGCCTTCACTGCATGCAGCCTTGCACCCCTTTGGTTCTCAATCGTTAAAAAGGTAAAATGCTAATAAGTACATCGGTTCGATGAAACAAAGTAGTTGTACTTACGTGCCCGTGTTCAATTATTTTTTTCGATTATTTACCTTTAAAAACATAATTTTTTGCACCCCCAGAAAGGGCGTGCACCCCAGGTTAATAACCACTGCTTTAGCGGGACTTAGGATCATTAAGCTGTGTACAGGACAATAGTGAAATGTAAATCCCTTACATAGCAAGGCCTCACTGAGTCTCAAGGGTCCTGCATTGGAATGTCGGACAATGCCATTTAATATACTAATATAATGCACTGATACGATACATTTATTTACTTGTGTATCATGCAATCCTTAAACATTTTCAATGTAATATTCGTTCAAGTCTCTGTGATATAACAACAGGGCATTTCTCTCTCTCGATTGGTAAACCACAGCCACCAGTGTGAATTGCACAGCGGCGAGTCTGTCCATAGGAGTACTACTGTTGATGCCCCACTAAATGGTATTTATATAATCCCAGGAGGGATGATGATAATGATGGACTTAGTGGAACATCTCCCATGATTTGAATTTCCAATCTTCTGATTGCTTGGTTGAGGGTTCTAAGCACAGAGCCACGTGGATGGATTTACAGTATCAAAATGAGAAAAAAATATTTCCAGCCATTTTCAATCTACTGCTGGATGAGGGCCTACCCATGCCATATGATTCATGGGTAAACATATGTTTTACCATACTTCACCATGCTGGTCAGTGCGCGTTGGTTAAAGGGGCAGGAGCGATTCAGATATCAACTTGACACTTATGTTAGTCAGAGACAGTGATCGCATTCGGATAGCCGGGGTTAAAGTGCAGCACCCTGACTGATGCGCCACCACTCCACCAGGATTTACACGATACGGAACAGTAAATACACGCGTGCTATTTGGTTGACAGCTATCAAGAATAAGAGTTCCCCCTCTGTGCTGTGCTGATATGAGAATCAATTCTCTACGAGGCTCACAGAGTAACGGACCCGTGCCCTTGTCACGAAACGAATACAGTTGTACAGCATGGAAGAGAGATTACTTTACTTACACTGCTATTTTGGGCCAAATAAGGGCCTTCAGTCCAAGAAAAGGGTTGCCCAGGTGTCAATTACTTACACATACAGTGTGCCCACTATCCATGCTCACTGCAGAGTCGATGGTTCAGTTCTCAGGCAAACAGCTTGAGCAATATCCCTCCCCGCTGAGCCGGCTCTTGAAAAATCCCTTTAATTTAACACAAGACTCCCAAACCCTTGCTTTGGAAAAACGAACAAATAAAAAGAGTAGTACATTTTGTGCTGGTGCTGAGAAGTGTTTCTTTTTCTTCTACCACCCTGGTCTACTTGTGCATTTAAACGTATACACATTCAGCGACGTGCATTTTTACAATGTGGATCCATAAATAAAACAAAACATTTCCGTGAATTTTTTAATAATTAAAAGAATGCATGCCAATGGTATATCGTCTGAGTGTGCAACTGCTATATATTTCATGAGAATATGAATCATATTTAGAGCCCCTTGTCTGGATTAAGATGTTACACTGGCTATACTTCACCACGCTGGTCAGTGCAGCTTGGTAACAGATGGGACACCCAGGACCGGTTCAGATATCACTCGTCACTGATGTTAGCCGAAGCCGGGAATCGAACTCAGGTTGCCTAGTTCATATTGTTAACGCTCCTGCCATACGCAATATTCAGTGTCCACTGATGCTATTTTTTTGTGTAAAGTGGCATGCACAGTCAATGTAATTAACATACTGTGCATTTGGCAATGCTATTTGTAGCAATGGTCAATTCATTATACAGTTATTTATGGAATGTGGTGCACTTGTGTGTTGCTTTCGTATGTTATCAACGGAATGGCTCACTTGCTCTTCGCATATCTTTACTTTATTATTTTTACTTCGTGGTGGTTAATTTAGGTACACATAGTACATGCTGTGGTGTAACGCGGTATTGGATATTGTGTACTTTGGGCTTCAGGAATACAGCTGAAGAAATTCTTATTTCAGCGCTGTCATTTCCCACCTTGGCGATACAGTAATGATCAAACCAGTTACCCGTCCGTTTTCAAGTTGGACACCTAATTTATCCAAAACAAATCAAGAGCATTAATGTTGCACTGCAAAGGCATGATGATAAAATGATATTCTCCAAATTTAAAGCAAATAGGACACGTTTTTATTTACAGCGAGGAGGTATAATAGCTGACGTCATCCACCAGGGAGATTGAGAGATAGAATCAGCTCCTGGTGCATCGTACAATGTATGTTGATCTTCTTTCGCACCGTATGTAGGCAACCATGCTAATCAGAAGTGCCGGGGAAGGACAACAAAGGTCTGAGGTGGATATCAATCCCAGTGATGGCCTGTGTGTGTGCCATTCATATGTTAGATTCGTGTTGCCTCCTTGCGCAAAGATCAGAGGGCCCGTGTTTGACCGCTCTGAACGAGAGATATGATTGCGGTGCAGTGACTGCCGACAAATTGGAGCCGGCACATGCACTGCTTTGCGATGATGTCTGCACGAATTCTGATTTCCTCGCTGAGAATGTTGGCGACATTTGCGTGCGCGCGCGCGCACACGAACGTGCACGTTACGTGAAATTCCACACGCGGATGTTTCCCCGCAGCGCTAATCACAACAACCGAAAAAAACACACGACTCGTGCAGCGCACAATGCACTCCACAAATTAAACCTCGGCTTACACATGTATGTGACATGATATTTTTGGAGTACTGTACAGCATGCATTTTCCTTGCAGCAAGTGTTTTCTATTAAATTATTCAATAGCCGGTTAGTTGGCTGATTTTCACAAGTTATTTATTAGCATTTGTAATTGAAACCACAATTGTATTATTATGTTTCTCTACGGTCTTCCATTGAAAAATAAAACCCAATTTAATTCTCAACTCCCATCACAGGGTAATTCTCTACCAGCGAGAGAACCTAATTCCAAAAGGCGGAGCTGTTATATCTGGACGATGTAATTTGGGCATCGATCGCATTGCTAAAACATCTGTAACCAGGAAGGCAGTTTCCAAACAGAATCAACAAGCCTTGTGTTAAACCAGCCGACACGGCGAACAGGAGCTGATGGAGATGCAGAGCATCAACTGCTATTTCACATTCAGGTGGCCAAGCCAGACAGCCGCGTTAGGAGCAGCGGAGTGTATCGCTGTGATGTCTCCGTCGTGTTTGTGGATCGGGCATTGCATCGTTATGTGTTTTGTATGGTCTGTATGGGGACACTGCTTGGCTCGGAGAGAGAGAGAGAGAGGAAACTGTGCAAGTTGATGTCGCTCAAGGCAAAATGTGGGGAAAATGCTGACAATATCCTGGCTTTACTTAAATGCCTTCTGTATTATTTATATAGACCACATAAAAAAACACAAGTTGCACTCGAATGTTTCTTCATGAATCTCTAGATTTACAACACAATACCATGAAACTGGATGTATCTGGCATCTGAATGCAACTACGCCGTACAGAACAGTGGGACATGTTCACCATGAGAAAGGATGAGTGGTATATTTACTTGTATTGTTACTGGTAGGAACCTCCTGGTTACACCAGCCCACATGGGATTATTGTGTCCGTCGTGTAGGGAGGGGCTGGGTGGGGAGGGAGGGGCTGGGTAGGGAGGGGCTGGGTAGAGAGGGAGGGGGTGGGGAGGGGCTAGGTGGGGATGGGGTGGGGAGGGGCTGGGTGGGGAGGGGCTGGATGGGGAGGGTGGGGCTGGGTGGGGAGGGTGAGGAGGGGCTGATCACCCCGTGGTGCCCTTATAAAACTCAACGTTTAACCTACTCACGCCGGCTTGTGCCCGCCCTCACAGTCGGGCATATTTGCGGAATACACCACGCCGCCGTTGACCCTGGCCATTGACCGAGCAACCCAATTGAGATGAGACACTCAAGTGACAGGCAGAGGAGATGAAGAAGGTCTGGAGCCTTCACTTGGACCATCCATCGATATAGATTCGGAAGCTCACGATACACACGTGGAATTGTGCGTGCAGAAAAAAACGAATGAGTTGTAATGGTATTTACGTCGTATGTAATGGGCACAGGCTGCATGTGGCTTTCTGGGTAAATAAGTAATTGTGTCACCGCTAAAGTCACGAGTGGTGCAAACATTCACTGGAGTGTTCCATTTAGCCACGAGCCTGAATCACAACGGTTCATCTCGTCACCATGGGCGGTCAATGGTCCCACCCGCGGTATTTAATGCACACACACATTTTCTTTCCTCGCTATCTTCGCTTGAGCTGATAAAGGTTTTTGGCATTTGTATTTTTTTAGCAGATCCGAATGCGCCTCCTCCCGCCATACCTGACAGCCCCATCACCACCTCCCAGCATCCTCCTGCACAGGAACAAACCCTGCGAACAAAGCTCCCATGATCGCACTATCGAACACCATCTCCTGCATGCCTGGTGACTCAATACAGCTGTCATTCCCACAGGGAATTAAAACAAAGAATGAACCACACTTCCCTTACATTCATCTCCCCACATAAACATGAGCGGCAGGGTGGCACAGTGATGACAGACTGCTAGGTCACAGCAAGAAAGTCCTGGATTTGATTCCCGACTCGGGTGCCTTTTCCTTGTGGAGTCTGTATGCTCTCCCCTATGTCTGCATGGGTTCACTGGTTTTCTCGCATATTTAAGAAGAAAAAAACCACGTCGTTGGGATATCATTTGTGGTCAGGTCGCTTCTGAAAAAGAGCGAGATAGCTCAGTGGGCCTTACTTGGTAAAAAAAAAAGTTGTTTAAATAGTTTAATTTATTACTATGAAATAATCTGGAAAAAAAGCGGACTTGTCCATATACAAATCCAAAACATGAAATCCGAAACGCGCCCCTCGTTTAC